ACCCTGTTTAGCTGAACTTCTTAGATCTGACAAGATTGGGCTATGCCATGCTGCCTTCCCTCCCTGTCTTGAGATACTTCAGCAAAGTGTATCAACGTAGATATAAAACTATTGGCCATATTCCATTATTTTCGGTGTGTTTGTGACTGGGTCCTGGGGGAGGCAGTGAGGCAGGGTACCTGTAGGGAGAAGGCCCAAAGCAGGGTAAGTGGGGCCTTGCTAGGGCTGCCAGCCCTGGATGGGAAAATATCTTTTGGGGACTTTGGGGGAGGATCCAGGAGAGGGCAGGGTTTGGGGATGGGAGGGAGCTCAGCATGGTGCAATGGCATAGAGATCACCCTTCAAAGCAGCCATGTTCTCTAGGGGAGCTGATCTCTGTCAGCTGGAGATCAGTTGTAAAAGCCAGAGATCTCCAGGCCCCACCTGGAGGCTGGCAACCCTAGGCCTTGCCTCCATAGTATAAATCACAATGCTTATTTTGAGTTGGCTTCCATCTTCTTTATTTTCAGCTCTGCAAAGCACCTTGTAGCTCTCTGTTCCCCCAGGTAGTTAGCAGCATTCCCTGGTCATCGTGCATGCTCTATCCCACCTTTTGCTTAGCCCCCAGCTGCCTTTCAACTCTGTATCATCACCTCATGTTTCCGCTCAATAATTGGACTTGCCCTTCCTGCCCCAGCCCCAGCCTTCTGGGCTGTTGACCCCAATCATGACAGAATCCTAATGAGATGCCCTCCCCATACACCACTGCCATGTGTGCTAGTGTCAGCGAGCTGCCATTTCTCTGGGACACGTCCCGTCCCTCTTCCTGCCTTCCTCCCTTCCCTCCCTTTGTTATTCTCTTCTGGTATGCTTCTGTAACTGCCAAGTTTCTCCTGCAGGTGGATGACGGAGTGTTATGTCTTGTTGCCTAGCCTAATTAGATTTCCCGTGTGAACTCAACTTGTGTTTATGAAATTAGCTGTTGTGGTTCTCAGGCTGCTTCGCGCCTTTTCTAATCAGCTCCCTTACGAGGGAAATGTACCCATTGGGTTAACCAAGTTTGAAGTTCCTATATTACTTTGCCCCTGTGTATTGTCGTTATTCTGAACAATCTCTGTATGTTCATGATCAACCATGCTTTGGAAATAAATCTTACTTCTTTGGAACGTGGGTTTGTTATCCTGACTTGGGATCTGACAGCTAGCCCCCATGCCCTGCCATCGGTGCATCAGGCCACACCCTTTCCACTGGGCATTGCCTTGCATGCCACTCCTATCCACCTTGGTCAGCTCCCTTGGTCCCTGAGGTCATTCCTGTGCCCCCTCAGTGTCACAGTTTTCCTCATTTTTCAATTAGAAGTTATATCCATCCTTGTTATGGCTATTATTTAGAATATCTCTGTCCCATCTCTCCAAAATCCTGCCCAAAGTAGCTAGCAACAAGGGTAAAATGATAAATAATAAAAACAGTTCAGAAAGTCCCAGACAATAAAATTCTAAGCAGTAAAAATAAAAAATCAGCAAGGTCAGCAGCATATTTATAAATGGAGGGCAAGCTGTAGAGAGTGGTCAAAATATCAAAAGGGTGGAAAATTAACTAAAAGCTTGGATGACATAGCGTTGCCAACCTCTAGTTGGCGGCTGGAGATCTCCCGCTATTACAACTGATCTCCAGGCAACAGAGATCAGTTCCCCTGGAAAAAATGGCCACTTTGGAATGTGGACCCTATGGCATTACACTCCAAAGAAGTCCCTCCCCTCCCCAAACACCACCCTTCTCAGGCTCCACCCCCCCCAAATCTCCAGGTATTTTCCAATCCAGACCTGGCAAGCCTAGGATGAAATGTTTTCACCTGGTGCCTGTGTAAGTTAGTAAAGTCGCCATCAGGCAAGCTTCAAGGGGGTGGTGTCAGACCCTGGCTTCCCGCGGTTCCAGTCAGAGGGTGAGCTGCTCCATGGTGTGATTTCTCTGGGAAGCCGGCAGACAGGGCCTCAGAATTGTGAAAAGAGGGGGGCTGTACTTCACCCTGGACCCTCTTGCTCACTCTCGAGATCTATTGCTGGGTTTTTCCCTCCCACCCAGTCATTTCCCCAGTCCTGCATAGAGTCTGGAGCACTTCCTCCCTGGCCAGTCTTCCTTTATCCATTTAAATCACCCTCTCCCAGCTCTGCCCTTCCCTCCTGATCTGAAGCCTCCTCCCCCATCACAGGAGAGAGGCCAAAGGTCTCGCTCCCGAATCTCAACACCTGCATCCCATCCCTGTTCCTCTGTCTCCTCAGTGTCGGGTGTGGTGGGACGCCCAGCCTCCTCAGCCTCCCTTCGTGGCCCCAACTCCCTGGGGTGGGAATTGAGGCAAGGGTTTAAGAGCCTCTCTTTCTGCTTCTCTTATCCCGTGACCCTGGTGCTGCCCCAGCCTCTGGGGGCCGCTCTGGTCTTCAGCCTCAGGGGCTGTCTCTCCTTTTCCCGGCCTTGTCCCCTCTTGCTGGCAGCAGCTGGGTCCTTGCTGTTGCTCCTTCTGGTGGCTCCCACGAGCTTGGCGACCAGATGTCTCCCCATTATGTCTTTGGCCCTGATGGCATTCCCCTCTGGAACGGAAGGGGGTGCCAGTTCCCAGCTGATCCCCAGACAGGTGGGCAAGCTCAAAACTCATTCTAGATTTTTAAAGAAACCATTCCTTTTAAATATTCTAACAGTATTGTCAAGGGGAATAAAGTAGCTAGTTATATCCCCAATTAACCCTTTAACGTGCATACAAATGTTTTTAAAACTGAACAGTTCTGGAAAATATGGATAAAGTCAATACAAGCAGCTTGGGATCACCAATAATCATGTTGTGTTCAATATAGACACTTTAATCAAGGTTGAGTCATATAGCCTTGGAAATGAGTTTCAAAATATCTGAGATAATTCCATTTCTCAATATTTGTTCCAGGTCCACCCCCATTTGATTTCAGAAGTCCTAGTTTTAACAACATAATGACTATCCACCCTAATTTTCAATTCTCCTGCATGCTCACCTGTCCTTTTTTAGATTTTTCCATTATCATATTTTTATCCCATCTTCTTCAAAGCTCATACTTGGGTCTTTCATTTTACTCTCTGTAAGGAAGGGTAGGTTAAAAGATAATTGCTGATTCAAGGTCACCTAGTGTGGGTCAGGGCAGAGTGGGGATTTGAGCCAGTTAGGGTTGCCAGGACTGGGTTGGAAAATACCTGGAGACTTTGGGGGTAGATCCAGGAGAGGGAGGGGTTTGGGAAGGGGAGGGGCCTCAGCATGGTACAATGCCATAGAGTCCACCCTTCAAAGCAGCCATTTTCTCCTGGGGAGCTGATCTCTGTCAGCTGGAGATCAGTTGTAAAAGCAGGAGATCCCCAGGCCCCACCTGGAGGCTGGCAGCCCTAGCCACAGTGCCCGAGTCTGAAGCTCTGAACAGCTGTACTGCACAACCTCTCTTGACATTTATATCTCCCATGAGGCAATTACAGCTATACATTGCAGATTCTACAAAGATACTATAGGACTTTTTCTGTAGATAAGGGAAAGTCATGTCTAGTTTGAAACTAGTTTGCACCCATTTCCTTAGAACTGTATTAGGGAGCACATCATTGAATGAATTGGAAATGGTCAGTAACACTTTATTTTTATGAGCTGTAACCACCCTTGTCTCTTGGCTCTATGCAGGGTAGAAATACTAGGATAAATATGCATTTGTAACTCCACAGAAATAAATACAGTTCAGGGTAGGAAGGAAAAGACAGGTGGGTGGAGGAAAGAGTTAAGCAACCACTCAACTTATCCACTGAAAATTATTTCAGCTTCAAACTGGTTTGTGTTATTAAAAGCAGCTGTCAGATTTTATACATATGATAGTGTGTAACTGATGGCAAATTCCCAAGTTGCAGAATGAAATCATGCACATGCTGTATTTCCACCTAGTGGTGGTAACTCATTGTGATAAATCAGTTGCCTAATTAAGTGGGACAATCAATTGAGAGTATTACTCTATTAATCTTTCTGGTTTGCTTCCTTTGTATAGTTTTATTTATGTACTTGTACTAAGAGATTTAGAGGTAACATAATTGACTTTGCTTGGCTACCAGTTAGAACAGCATCATATTCCAAAATTTTGGAGGTTAACACCCACATGGGTAGCAAGTCCATTTTAAACGTTAAACAGCAACTGCAAAGCTTCCTCTTTGTTAGTCTAGGATTTCATTGCATGCACACAAACTCTGAGAAGTACACAATTCTACACTCAATGTACATTTGCATGGTATTTGCTCCCCCCCCCCAATGTATTCTCTCTACTAGTTCTGAGCAGATCACTGCGACCCAGTTAAAATCTTATTTGGTGCAATGAGGATTTCTGAAATTTTATAACTGTTACCTGCACAAAGTAAAGGATAGTTTCATAACCATAAGGAACAGAAACTTGTTTATTAAAATTATATCTGAGATTCTCAGATCAGGAGATTTCATTCGCTCACTCTACACTGGTGCAGAATCATTTCACATTTAGACACTGCTGTCAAACAATTAGGGATTGTCTATATTCTCAGTTGTACTCCAGGCACCAGTGTAGACTCCACTGGTGGTAGTACTTGTGCTGCTTGCAGCAGTGTACTTGTTCTCCCTCAATTATGACGAGACAAAAATAAAGTGAAATCCCAAAGCTGACTATCATTAGTGGAGGTGTGCCAAGGTACTGTTTTGACTAGTAACTTCACTGCCTTTGCTCAGCAGTTGTGCCACTGACAGCTACTGTAAGTCCGAAAGGGACCAAACGAAGGGTGATTCTGTTCACCCTTCAATGCTATCCCTAGTATAACTGAAAATGATGATTCATTACAACATATACTATAAGCTGGTTGGGAGAAAAGTGAGTCAATGGATACAGTGTGAAGAAACAAAGCAATGTTGAAGTAGCTGACTACAAAACCCAATGAAAACAAAAAAACAAGCCTTCAAAACCAAACAAAAACAACCCAACAAACAAGTTTCTGCCAAAAGGCTTTATTATTTATCTTAGTTATAAAATGGCAAAAAGGAATCCCCAGAAATATGACAGACCCATCATTAGGGCCAAGCCTTTGCTCTCTCATGAGAGCTGCTTAGGTACCCCACCCCCGCCCATTGCCAGCCACTTCAGGTGGGAAGTGAGTCAATTTACATACATATACACATCTCATACTTATATACTTATAAATACATGTGACTAAGTAGAATGCTGGGTCCAGTCAGCCCCTTAGATGCTGACCACCCACACTCAACCGTGTTAACTGGTAAGGGGGCACATACAATTATCTTCTACCCTAGAATGGAGAGCTAGCCTTGAAGCACAGCCTCTTCTAGGAGTCCCATGGTTTCAAAGGCTCAAATTGGTAGTGCACACATGTTAAAACAGAGCCAATGGTTATTATTGAATAGCAAAAGCCCCATCTCTGTAGCAGAAATATTAGGGAGGACAGACATTAGGTTTCATAACCTCATCCTCAACTCCTTTCAGTCCTCCGGGGGCGGCAGAAGTCTCATTCTGCAGTCTTACACACATTTTCTGGAGAGCTAAAACCCCTGCTTCCAAGTAGACATACAAAGGAAGATCAGGATGTGCAATCCTGGAGCAGTGGGGAAGGAAAATGCTAAGAAGGGTGATCAAGTAAGTTCCAGGACATTCCATTTCTCTACTTGGCCAGATGGACTAGTCAGCTGGGGAAAGGCACACACAAAAATAAACAGAAGGAATGGTTAAGATGATAACAAACAAGTTTAAAGGAAAAAAAAAAAGAAGAATCTTGGCACTTCTGAGGCCCCAGTCCTACACACAGTTACTTGGAAGAACATCCCAGGGCTGAACTACATGTTCAGGTTTTTAAAGAGGTGGGTCTAGGTTCCCCACAGCCACAAAGTAGCTGTGGTGGGGAATGGCTTTTTAAAAACGAAGGAGAGCCCAATGGGCTCAGAATGCCACTGCGGAGGGAGGGCTCCTGCCTCCCCCCCCCCCCCAGCAGTTTTCCCTGGCTGAAACAGCACTGGACAGGGAGTTCTTTCCTCATTTTTCCTGCTCCATGTGCAGAGAATACATCGCGTGGAGCAGCAAAAACTTCCCTCCACCCCAGTGCTGTGTCAGCACATGAAAACAAGTTTGGGGGAAGGCACAAGTCTTATCTCCCCCTGTGGTGGCATTCTGAACCCATTTGGGCTCTCCTTTAGTTTTTTAACTAGCCATTCCCCACAGCTGCTGTTTGGCTGTGAGGAACCAGGACACAATTCTTTAAAAAATGCACAGTTTGGTCCTCAGTGGAGCTTTCTTGGAAGTAAATGTATTTTGGAGCCAGCTGCATCAAAGTAAGGAAAAAACTTTCTGAAGAGACAGTGACTCAGTGCTTCCATAAACTTCAACAGGACACATTTTTAAAAGATTTGACACCTGCTGTTCCTCTCCTGTATCTGGTAAAGAAGAAAAGACAAATGTCTTTATAGCAAGCAAAAGAACATGCTATTAAGAATATTCAGGAACAGATTTTGTGTTATTCATTCTTATGTAGCCACAGCTACCAAAACTGGTATAAAATACTGGCAGAATAGAAAGGCAGTGGGTTGTCAGGCTGCCATGTGAAGATCCCATCTGAGGGTTGAGGTAGCAAGAGAGGATCATGCTGCCACTATGTCCATTCCTCTCTCCATTTATTCATATGCCAATCTCTTCACGCACCATCCTCTCCTGCCTGTTCCAGCAAACAAGAGTCCAGTTTTATCCCACAACAAGAAAGGGAAGTGGACTAGAGAAGAGCTCAGTGGTGGGGTAGGGTTGCATTTTTTCCTGTCACCTTAGAATCTTTCAGTGAACAGATGGAATGAGGATGTCTAACAGATGGCAATTTGGCTACCTTGCTAGGGTTGCCTTCTATCCTCATACATATGTTATACAACAAAAGCGATTACCATCTTTGAGCCGAAACAAAATTCTCTTCCCTTCCTGTCAACCATGAGCAAACAATAGCTTTCACTGTGCATCTTTTTGGAGCATCATCAGGGCCAAAGAGCTCTAAGTTAACAGAATTAATAACCAATACAGTGGACCAGGTTGTGTTTGGGACAAAGTTATGTCTCTTCTGTGAGGCTCCATGAAAGCTAATTGCCTTTGCCCCATTTTGTTTCCCTGAACATGGTCACTAGGGATAAGATAAAGTGAAGAAATAATTACCAGGAAAAGACAGTGTATCATCATCATAATTTGTTCCTTGCCCTGCACAGCTGACCCAGATTTTCTGAACATACTTGGAGGAAGATGGAGTGCCAACACCTTTCCCGTAGGAACTGCACATTCCTTTTTAGTAGTATATCATTTAAATATAATGTAGAAGAAAGTTTGATGCAGACTCCCTTTTTACCTCATAAATCACAGGTGCTAATTTTGATTTGGGACTGTAACTTCTGGAGTGGTTGCCAGCTAGCTTGAACAGCCCATGAACCACCTCAAAACTTAGACCATCTGCAACACCTACCTCACTTTCATATGGAAAGACTATGGCATCATAGAAGGCATGTGCTTAAATAACATAGCTGTACAGCTGTACATAGCTGCCATATTTTTCCTTTATCACATGGAGGAAAGACTGGTAAGAGTGATAAAGATTTCCATTTTAACATCACCAGATTCCAAGGGGGCTTCACATATGGCTATGGATGAATTGCAGGGATAATTCTCTCCAAAACTGGACACTCCACACATTGTTTCCAGTCCAGCTGAAATACTGTGAGATAGGTGGCAATCAGGATCATAAAACCATCCAATCATTTGTCATGGAGGTTTCAGCCACGGAAAAATTATATTGTTAATTTAAGACACAGTTCCTATAACATTTCTTCACAGTTAATGTTTTTAACCCCCCCCCCCCCTTTCAGGTAGCACAAATGAATATTCAAGTTTAATACTGGGTTACTGTTAACTAGAATGTAAGTATTGCAAGACTCACACTTTTGGGGCTACATCTGCCACAAATATACCCTAAGAATGGTTAAAAAAAAGAAAAAGAAAAGCCAATCTGCCAAGGGATGGCTTGGGCTACTCGGTGCCACCCATCTCACTTTAAGTTGTGCAGTGGGGCTTCTACTCTCCAGTTTCTTAGCAAGGGAGAATTTTAAAAGCATCAGAAGTGAACCAAGACATTCTCCCCAACAAACAAAAACAACCCCCCCACACCTTGAGCAAGTAGATATAATGCTTTTTGACTTTATAACTCCCCCACCCCTGCAGCATCATATCCCATGCAATCCAGTAACTACTCTTGCTGGACGGTCTGGAGCACCCTCTTGCTGTTAACTCTGGCTTGAAATAATAAAATAGGAATCTGGTACATTTGGGTTTTAAAAGGGAAAGCCCTGGTGAACGGAGGCACTTTCCACGATATTTGCTAGCTCTGTCCATTGTGTCTGCTGAAAGTGTTTCCTCCGGGTGGCTGGATCTGGATGGAGTCGAGCAGAGGCCTCAAAGCTTGTCCAAAGGGTCTGAAGCAGTAAGAAAGGTGAAAGAGAAAAAGAAAAGTGGATTTAAGGTCTCCAAGCACCCTCTACCCCAATAATCTCCCAAACAAAATTGAAACAAAGGTTCTGGATAAAAGTGAAAAAACATCTAAGCGTGTACCTAGAAAAGCGAGGGAGATACATATAGGGGTATACCTAGACAGCTTTTTCATTCAATCTCACCTAATTGCCCTCTTTACTACAACCGCTGTTCCACATAGCTTTAGTCCATGCAGGTCCCATGATGCCCAGCACAGCCTTTTTTAGTGGGCTGAGGGAACCCCCTTATCCCTTTTTCACCAGTAGAAACACTGGCTGGATCCAACCTGACATGTACCACTTCAGGGCAGCTAATCTCTGTAAGCAACATGTGCAAAAGAGTAGAGCCCACAACAGCATCTGATCCGTCTGCATAGTGAAAGGACAGGAAAAGGGGCCAGAACAGCCCTGATTCTTGATACTGAAAACAGGGGGCCTTGAAGAATTCTTTCCCACATTTCACCTCCTTTTCCTGGTAACATTAGCCACACTTCTTTGAGAGTCAAAATTCTTTGGGTGGTCATGCATTTGCTCAGGACAGTTTATCATCCTACACAGATACAGAATGTGATGAACAAGGAGAGCCTCAAGATTCCTTGCTGGAGCAGCCCTCAGCAGGATGCAAACTGCTAAAGTTATGCCCTGGCTTCCCCAGAACGCTGCAGAGAGTGTAGAGTGCTATAAGCTCAGCTCCTGTACTACTTATCCCAAGAGGCTCCACTCTGTGTCTCGAGCCTCAGAGAGCTGAATGGCCACTACAGGAGACAGGATTTCTCTGTTGTGGCACCCTGTCTCCTTGTAACCTTCTGCCTAGTACTGAAACTGATGTCTTTCTGGCTGGCCCAAGTAGATGTTTTTAACTTGTCTGGCCTTTTTCTTATGGTTAGCTTAATACATTTTATTGTCCACTGTTTTCTTCTGTGGCTATTGATGACTTTGTTATTTAGTTTTGTGGATACTGGTTGTGATCTTTTGCATTTATTATTAAAAGTACTGCATTTGATGTTATAAACTGGGGTGTCAAACTTAAGGCCCGCAGGCCAGAAGTGGCCAGCCCATGGCTTTAATGAGGCCCGTGGCTCTTTTCTTCCCCCCCTCCTGTCCTCACCCTTTGAAGCTTGAGGCTGCCAAAGTTCCCAGCTCCCTCCCTCTTGTCTTTGCTTGCTTCCACCAGAAGCTCTTCGGGGCTTGCAAAGTTACAAAGAAAATACGGAATGGGTTTTTCCATTAATGTCTCTGCACCCAGAAAGACTACTCTGGGATTGTTTCCAGCAATAGAAACAGTGCTCTGGGACTGGAATGACAGCCCCCAGAGTAGAATGACAGTCCCTAGCAATAGAATCTGTGTTCTGGAACTGGAATGACAGGGCGCAGAGGGAATGACAGCCCTGGGGAGTAGCAGTAGCATTCTGGGAATGGAATTCCACTCTGGGGGCCCTCTTTCCAATCCCAGAATGCTTCTGCTGCTCCCAGGGACTCTCATTTCACTCTGGTGGCTGTCGTTCCAGTCTTAGAGTTGTCTGTCTGGGCCCAGAGACCTTAATGGGAAATCTATTCCACATTTGCTTTGCAACTTTGTCTGTGCTGCAATGTATTTCAATGGAGTGCAGCTCAAGAAGTTTCACTTTCCAGTGTTTGTATAGTTGCAGCTGTTGCTTGAGGAGTTGTCTCCTTGCAAATACAGGGTTGATGTTTTGAGCCAGCTTGTCTCTGATGAACGGACCTGAGAACAGGTGCCCAAGTGAGTATTCTAACCTGGGAACCCACAGCCAAAGGGGAAATTACACTGGAGAGCCACTGCCACTCTGAGTAGACCTGGGGGGGGGAGGGGAGATGCTTCCAGTGCCAAGCCATTTTATGTTCCTAGGCTCAGAGTATTTTATATTTTTAGTTTATATTTTTAGTTTTTGTAGTGATCCTTGTGCTTTTTCTTGATGTTTTATTTTAAAAGTTGCATTGGCAAACGTCACTATTCCCCAACCTTTCAATTTTAGGAAGGCATCTTTTTTTTGTGTGTGGGGGGAGATTTGGGAGGTGTCAGTTATCAAAGACTGTTAAATAAGCATATTTGTATTTTAAGTTAAAAAATATCTTTAATTGTGTCTGTATCTTTTATAAAGTTCATATCTCTGCTAGCTGGCATTACATGTTAAGGCATGCATAGGGTTGCCAGCTCTGGGTTGGAAAATACCTGGAGACTTTGTGGGTGGATCCGGGAGAAGGAGGGGTTTGAGGAGGGGAGGGGCCTCAGCATGATACAATGCCACAGAGTCCACCCTTCAAAGCAGCCATTTTCTCCAGGGCAGCTGACCTCTGTCAGCTGGAGATCAGTTGTAAAAGTGGGAGATCCCCAGGGTCCACCTGGAGGCTGGCAACCATAGACACGCATGGCCTGGCCGCACAAAGTCCCATTTATGTCAGATCCGGCCCTTGTAACAAATGAGTTCAACACCCCATAAACTTTCCATTCATAATTTTAAAAGAATGGAGTGCGCTTATAAAACTATATTAAACAAAACAAACATTTATTTGTTCTGGCATCTTCTGATGTTGCAAGGGATCCTGGGGAGTGCTCTTCAGGCTGGATGCTGCATCTCCTTCACTCAGCCACCGTGTTGAGGCAGATATAATGAGGCTGAGGATGACCCAGACAGCTAAAACTCACATTCTAAGACAAGGGAAGCAACCTTTCTGGCCCAAATATAGTAAAGATGTTGGTGTGCCAACAAATAAAATGGGGGTGGGAGGTGGGAATAGTTGTACTTGGTCAGACACACTTGGAGCAGGCGAGGAGCCAGTTAGGCTATCAGCATCTCTGGGATCTGCCTTCGACTCCACTGACATCTGTGCAGGTCTGGGAGAAAATGAAAGGCATAAACTATCCTGTTGCTTTCTTCTGTACTGCTGGCCTCAGAAATGCTTCAGTCGCTTGGGTGGAGATCATGCCAAGCAAAATGATCCAGTGTGTGGCTGTTGACACATGGTCCAGTGTGTCGCCAGGGGCTGCCTACCCCTGTTCTAAAGAGTGCCGCACTACATTTGTCAACAGGGACTCTACTCACGTTGCAAGCACTTCAGATGGAAGGTCAGTGATGTAGGAAGGAATCTTTCTCCCTGTCAAAAACTGTGCCACTTCATTGCTGAATGTATTGCAGTTATGGTCAAAAAGATTGTAAGATTCTCCTCTGTAGCCCCAAAGAAAAGTCCAAACACAGGAAAGAGAATGAACAAGAGAGACAGCAAATCAGTAACAGAGAACAATAATTTTTCATTCAAAAGGACTAAAACAGCTTGTATAAAGTTCATAAAACCCAATAAGCCTCACCGTACTCAAATCAGTTACACATTACATGCAAGTGTGCCTATCGGTACCGGTATGTAATTTTAAAAATAAAATAAGTTTTAGGAGAAGAAAAAAAATTAGTGGAAAAATAGAAAGTAGGGGCTGTTTAACCCTTTCCATGCCAGTAGTCTTTTGGCTCTGAATCACCCCCATCCCACAGCATTCAAAATGCATATTTGCCAACATTATGAACTTTATAGAGTAAACAGCCAGTATGGTTTAGTGGTTGAACTGCTGGACTCAAATCTGGAAACTCAACTTCAAATTCTTACTCTGCCATGGAAAACTTGTGGTCTGACCCTGGGGCCATCATCCTCTCACCCTCATTTACTTCACAGGATTGTTGTTGTGAGGACAAATGGAGGCATTGATGATGATACTGTAAGCTGCTTTGGATCCCCATTAAGGGGTACAAGTATCTTTACAAATCAGATAAGATGGGTGATTTAGATCCAAGAAGCAGGAAATCCCCCCTCCTAAACAGCTATTAACAAAACCAGAAGGAAAACATACAAATCTGCATGTCAGCCCTAACATGCATGTAGTTAGCGCCATATATTGCAGTAAGAAAACCACATAATGTAGCACAGATCAGTGCTACATTGATTTAGCTTGCAACTGTTCTGCAGCATCTAAACTGAAATGCAAATGCCACAGAGAGTTCAATTTGAGTGGTTCTAGCTGTATTACTCTTAAGATGGGCAAAATGTTATCCACAAAAAATGCTGGTGCAGAAATCCTAAATTCACAAACTACTTAATGAAGACTGCCTTGGCAGACCAGCCTATCCTTAGGTCCTATCCTCTCCCCTTCTGTGGCTTTTGTGTACCCCAACTGGCAAGAACAATGGCACAGTCAAGTGAGTTCAGCATGATGGTTGCTTTTCTGATTTCTCGTGCAATTACACATCTCTATAGCACATATGAATAACTGACCTATTTCAGTACAGGAAGAACACATAATTCTCCTTGAAATAGATCATTCCCTTTAAAGTAAGTTTCAAGACACCCCGTTCCTCAACAACGAGGTGAGGAAAGAAAACCTCAAAGCTAGAAGACTGTGCTTGGCACAGGATAATCCATGGCTATGTAAACAGAGATATTGTTCCAAATTACATTTCAAAGAGTACCTCACCAGACAGAAGGCAATCAACCACTGCTGTACAATGTGTTATCATTGGCTTAGCACAAGTGTGTACACACAATGATGTAGTTTATTTTGAGCTAGCCCCCCCCCCCCCAAGCTCTATGAAACAGTTTGGGTATAAGAGTACAGTTTCTAGTTTCAAAGAGGCAAATTGTTGGTTCTCCAGCTTTGAAACAGCAACTGGACCCTTTAAACTCACAAGAATACAATTTAGCCTCGTGGGGAAGTTGCCAAACAGCACTGGTATGGGAGGACACGTAATGATGTTGTTCCTCCAGTCCCATGAAGATGCTTCTCTATGGAACTGAATTGCTCAGCCTCTAGCAGGCTGCTGACTGAAGAGTGCAGTTGCCAGCTTCCAGGAGAAAAAACATTTCCCATCTCTTTAATAGAGGCTTAATGGGATGTTACTTATACCCTTGCTATGAAAAAAATTCAACTGCCTATTTCACACATTAAGCCTTTATTAAAGAAACAGGACATTTCTCCCCAGGCCCATTGGCAATACCATTGAAAATGGGGGGGGGGGAGAGAGAACTTCCCTCTTAAGCTCTTGAACCTGGTAAATTCAGCCTATGGGGTTTGACCCCATGGCAGGCAGGTGAGAGGTGAAGGCACAGGACAAATCTCTCCAGTCCTGCAATTCTGAGCTCTGGAAGGCAATGGAAAGACCTGACCCTGGAGTTCTTTACAGAGGTGGATAGTTTGGTAAGCAGATGTCTTCTTACCTCCCTCCTCCCACATCAGAGCACCGAGAGCAAGTCAAGTAGGCTTACTGTCACTTTTGTGAGCCTTTCAACAAAGTCCCAGGCTTACAAGGCTATCGAAAAACTGTACTTTGGCATTTTTTGTTGGGAGATAAAAGGAAGATACATAATAGTCTCTTGAATTCTTTAACTCCCAACAAGAGCGTTGCAGGTGATTTCCATTTGGAAGCAAATGGGAAGATACTTGCTTCCGATCAACCTTAATATAACTGGAATGGCTGCCCATGTACCTTTTTTTGCCCCTCTCCCATATCTATATAGTATTAGACCCCCCCTAATCTGTAGCATACAATATGAAGCAAAATATAAGGATGTATGGCTTGTACAAATGATTCCAACAAGAACTCTGAAGCAGACAGTACATCTCCTATATTTATTTTAATTTTTTGTAGAACTTTATAGCCATTGGGCTCTCCAAAAAGTTTTTTTTTAAAAATAACATGCTTGTGGAATCAGTATCAAGAAGTCTTCATTCTTCTGTATCATTCTCAGCATTTTCTTACCTGAATATAGATTCCCCCAATGAGGCCAAGTATTCCAGGAAAAGATCTTCTGTAACTTCTGTACATCCCAGGTCTACAATAGAGTCTGGAGGCCCAAGCAACGTCCCACCCTGTGAAATTTATACCCCAGAAGACACTAAATAAATATTTTCAGAATTGCTCAGTGTCTTATGGAAAATACATAATGGGGACTGATTTTCTGTGCCCCAAAGAAATTGCTCGTGCTGACTAACATATTGACAATATACTGATAATTTCTAATGGTGGTGGTAAGTTCCAAAAGAACCCTCACACATCCCCAACTTGAACTGGAATAGAAGGCAGGAAAAAGAGATGAACTTTGGTTTCTACTCTGATTTTTTTTTTGTGTGCGGGTACAGGGGACTCTGGACCTCAGCTTGGTCAACTATCAGAATAAACCATTTAAATCTCATTGCAACGTCAATATACACCAAAAACCAGGAGGTGAAAGTAAGCCAAATAAGCTAGTACAAACTAAGAAAGTGGTATCTTCTGCTTTAAGTCCCTCACCCCAAGACTTGGTACTGGTAAAATAATTAAGTTAGCTTCACCTGGCCAAAAACTTAATGGACAACTCTAACTAGACAACCAACACTGGTTATCTAATGGTGGTATACGGTATTGTGCTAGATATAACAAACAACCTCATTTACTTGCTAATGTTCTAAAGTATAGAAATTGATATGCAGCAACCTACAAGGAGATGTGGAGCTAGAAAAGATAAAAATATCAAAAACTTACAGGTGGACAACTGGAGATTCCACCACTTCCATAGAAAAATTCATCCCTGTGGACAATTATGGAGGTGTGCCTGAGAAGAGAGGGACAGGGGAACAGGGAGAATGTGTGTTGAAAATGGATCATGAGGGAGAAAGCATGTTGAAAACAGAGATTAAATAGGATCATGAGTAAACATAATAAAAAACCGTCTTACCTAGAATATTACTAAATCAAATAGTTTAGCAAAGTTAATGGGATTAAGCATACAAAATATGATGAATAAAATAAGTTCTGAAGAAAAAAAACCATTTTTATAATGTCACAAGCAGACACCATCTCAAAAGAGGCATACAGTCTCCCATGAGTGCAGAAGATTTTGCCTTTTGTAGCTGACACCTGTAATTTTTCCAAGTGCTTTTATTGATCATTTTTAATCAAATCAAACCAAATCAAGAAGTTTTTAAATCATATCAAACACAGCAGCCTTAACTTTAAAAATAAATAATCAATTTTATATTTTATTTTTACAGTTTGGCTCATTGATAAAGTATGTAGATGGTTCCAGTTTCAGTCCCTGGCATCAAGATATAAAATTATTTCAGGTTAGGGATGCCAAGTCCCCCCGGGGGGCGGGGAAACCCCTGCCCGGGAGGCCCGTTCCCCGCCGCCGCCAGATTGGGCCCCCTGGGGGAACCCCACTCCCAAAGCACGTCACACAGAAGTGATGCAAGCATGTCGGGGACGTTGGGGGCGGGGCCACAATCATCCGAGGGAAAACTCTATGGTTTTCCCTCGGATGATTGTGGCCCCGCCCCCTACGTCCCCGATGTGCTTCCGTGTGATGTGCTTGTGGCGCACGCGCGAAGACTCCCGCAGCAAGGCTGGACTCCCTCGCTCCGGAACAGGTAAGCACTTGGCAACCCTATTTCAGGTGGCAGCTGCTAGAAAAACCTTTTTCTGCCCCAGCCCCTCAAGAGCTGCTGCCAGCCATAGTTGGCAATACTGGGTTGCTGACTTTGAACATTCATACCTTCAATGGCCAAAACTAAAACTCTTAATTATCACTGAAAAAAACCTGAACAAGGACCTCTTGGCTTCTGTGTAACACTCAGCATATATTTTGGATTAAAGTATAAAACTGTCAACTGCCTGTAGAAAAAAGTCCTGTCCCTTTTATAGAGGCTTAATGGGACGTTATTTACCAGGTGGTGATGTCTTTTGCTTCCATACCATAAAAAGCTTCAGCTGCCCATTTCTACACATTGTGCCTCCATTCAAGGGGCACACATTTTTTTTCTTCGAGCTTCTTGGCAACCCCGTATTACAATTAACTGCTAGAACCGAGGCTCCGTTTTCCAATATAGGAAAGAGACAGGTAAAGTACTTATGACCTAAATTAGGGTCTATGCAATAGCTTTTTCCAGCACAACAACAGCAGGAACATTTCATACACACTATTAAGCACCCATTTTAATGTTGGTTACTCACCAGATGCCGTCCAGCTGCTTCCCTGTATATGTAAGAGAGAAAACAGGAACCTACTGAGAATCTTGCAACCTGTTACCTCTCTCAGCTATTAATTCACATTGCATTACAAGCAAAACACAGCATCAAGTGACACTATAAAAGAGCAGAAAAAATAATATATTTCTTTCCCTTTGGTGAAGTTAGTACTATGGGCATTGACTGGGATGGCAATGGGTTGGATGGCAATGGGTCACGCTCTAATCCTTAAAGGTTATGTTAACAGGTCATAAAGCTACACAGAGACACAATATTAGAACCTGCATGCTAGGAAGTAACTACTTGCCTGGATAGCTGCAAACTGCCTAGAGAAAAAAATGCCCCGCCTCTTTAATAGTGGCTTAATGGGATGTTCTTACCTCGTAAAATTATTTATCTCCATGCCATGAAAAGCTTCAACTTCACATTTCCACACATTAAGCCTTTATTAAAGGAACAGGATGTCTTTTTTCCTTCAGGCCGGCTGGCAACCCTTTTTGCCTACAGCATGTAAGAATAGTTTCCTAACAACTTCAGGTGAATTGGTTCTTTCTCCTTTCAGGGCAGCAACATGCTCCCAATTCTCACTCAAGCTGCACATATAGGAAGGCTAGTAATTTATTACTTTGTTGTAAGCAAATGTATAAATCTGCATGATGATTTGGGGCCAACAATCAGGACAACCATTTCATAAAATAAGAACCACTGTCTTAAAAGACCAGGCAGAAGCAGTTCTCACATATTTGAGGAAGGGAATAGAAGGAAAAACTACTGGAAAAGATGGTCCTTTAGGTATGTGAGTCCCAGATGAAGGGCTTTAACAATAAGAACTAGCATCTTGAACTGAAGCCAGAACAGAAGAGAGATCAGTGTAGCAGTTTCAAGAAGACAGCACCATGTGCAAAGCAGCTAGTCCCAAACAATAGTCAAGCTGCTGCATTTTGTACCAACAGAAATTTCTTCATGACCTTCAAAAACATGGGAGGGAAGGGAAAAGGATGATGCACTACTGCTCTGTTCAGACTTTGCACATCTCATGGCTGCTTTTATATATTCAGGGATATTTTTGGGCAGGACTGCACAGGAATGGAGTTCTGGCTGGCTTTAGAGTTGGCCATGCCTACTCTGCATGTGTGGCTACAGAGGGAAGGCCTGGAGAGCGACCCCCCCCCAGCGACTCCAAGGCGGGTGGGCCAGGGGGGCCCCTGGAAGGATCGGGGAGGCATTTAAATGCTTCCCCATGCCTTCCCCGGCCTGTCCAACGGCCAGCTTGCCTGGGCTTCCTGCAGCCGCGGGGCACCCAGGCAATCCAAGGGAAGGCGTGGGGGTGTGGCCTAATATGCTAATGAGTTTCTTATATTGGGTGTGGTCTAATATGCTAATGAGTTCCTGCTGGGCTTTTTCTACAAAAAAAGCCCTGTATATATTTAATAATAAGGTTGGCAGATCCAACCACTACATCATGCTTTTGGCCTCAATGGTCAATTGTCATTCTGATCCAAACAGAGAGAGTACAATAACTGGTTCAGAAAATCGCTACTATTTTGCTTTTGATACACATGCCCCTTAGCTTTATGATACATATATGATATTCAGATGTTTCCTCCAATATTTGTGTTAATCTCCATGCCAGAAAAAGAACATTACAACAAAAAGCACTATGTTTTCATAACAAATATAGAAAGCAATGTACCACATGAACAAAACCACCCTTGGTAATTTGTATCTGTTGAAATGTTTCATGAACAGTCTGAAAGTACTCATTGATTAAGATTTATGGGGTAGTAGGAGGCAGCTTGAATGTCAAGTTTGATTAAAGGAGTTCCAAAAGAATTGTGCCAATATTACTTAAACCAAAAACAGAAATATTCCATATTTGAACAACTAGATTTAGAGCCTTATGCAAGATGGCAAAAGTAAAATGAAAAAACAACTGTTGAAAGCGGTGTACAACACCTGTTCTTCTAATGTCGTTACCTGTGACATGGTATTAGTGTTGCAATTAGATCTACAATGGTGTACCAGGGGACCAGAAATGGGCAGGGCATGGAAGAAGAGTTTTGATAGCTGTAACCATTACATAAAACCATTATGTTGACAGTTTTACATGCACATTTGCTGATCTGAGTTTATCAGGTTCTGATTTTGACATAAATTGTAGCTTTACTGAAAGTCTTCTATGGGAATGCTTATCCCTATCTGCAAAATCCTAAGAATCAGGGTTTTAAAAAATGTTTAACAGCAAGTTGTTGGGGTAAGGATATAGTAAAAATGCATATCAGCCAAATCAAAGCCACATTAATGTGCAAATGCTTATCTTAAATACTGGAGCTTTATAATTTTAAATTGCCTCTTCTCTAGTGCTACATATGGCTTTTAAATTACTGTGAAATAAGATGCTAAATACAGCAATGGAATTGTAATAAATTACTATAATAAACTTGTTGCCACAATCAATTGAATATTTTAGTGCATATTTTATATTAAATGTCCCATCATGATCAAAAATACAATATCTAAAGTATAACAAACATCATTCCTACCACAAACTGAATATCATCAACAATTATTGCAAAAGTCCATTTATAAATTCATTTCAAATATATAAAGTCCATTGAAAATTGCTTATAGGTCTATACACAAATCCATTAGGAATATGCAAATAAAGTCCATTCAAGATTGTTTATAGGACGAGGTTTCCGGATATGTCACTCATTTCAAAGTCTTCCTGAAGTAAAAACTGAGAATATGATAGACCTTTACAAAGATCCATAAACTAATTTTCCAAATATGCCATGGACAATATACCCTTCAGTGCCATAAAGCTGCAATGCCAAACTGGCTTACTGAATCCTTTATGGTAAATTTCACAATTTTTATATACTGTGGCATCAATCAGCAAAATTCAAAAGACAGACATTCAGGTACTTTACTGATGTTAATAAAGCCTCTAGTATTTTTCTAGAAAAAAACATAGATTATATTTCTCTGAATAAACCAGAAATTCATGAGCAATTCCTAATGGATTTGTGAATGGACTTAATTCTTGATGATATTCAATTTGTGGTAGGTAGTTACAATTTTGATATTGTATTTTTTATCATGATGGGACATTTGATATAAAATATACGCTAAATTATTCAACTGACTGTGGTAACAAAATTATAGTAATTCATTACAATTCCATTACTGTATTTAGTGTCTTGTTTCACAGTAGTTTTCTTGCTTTAGATTGTATCTTTATTACTGTGATTCCTTTAGTGGTAACCATATGGCTTTTAAATTGACATTAAAATACCAGCTCTAAAGCACTGATATTAAATACAAATTATGGGTTGTATTCTACAACTGTGTGCAACTTAGAGTACTGTGTTCTATGGGCACTACACACATTCCACCTACATAAGAGTTGTACTGACACAATGTGCCTTGTATCAACAGAACACACGGTACTTTTTTTGCACGGGGTGGTAGGATAAAGCCCGAGACAACTGAACACAAACCAGAAATGTACAATATTTGGACACACCCATAATATGTTGCTAGAATCTGTAACTGCCTAATAGTCAGCAAGGAATCTTCATTTGAAAATATGTAATTATGCCTGAGAACAAGAATAGTTGCCATCCTGAATAAAAATATCCAGCTACCTGTTAGTTAGCAAACTTTTGAGATAAATAAAAATCAGAATTATTTTGTGTAAGAGCACAGAGCACCCTGAAAACAAAAAATATCATCAAAGCACAATGGATCAAATAAACTATATCTACCTGACTCCTGTATAAAGGCCTGAAAGCAGAAATAATTTTATTTCAAAACACTCTAAAGTAATTTCACTTTCATTTGTAGAGAGAGCTATATAACACGTTTGGATTTCCAAAAAGGCATGTTTTTTTGGGGGGGGGGGATCAAGGTCCTCCCACTCACCCCTCTGCTGCATTCTCATATTCAATCCTGAAGTTTGCCCTGTCACTGTGACCAATGAATGTGTCACAATAGTCACTTCATACAGCAGCCACACAATATAAGCACCTCCCACACACTGAATAGTTTTTAAAGCTAAGCTTTTGCTTATGCACTGCAGACTCATGCAAGCTTATTCTTGTTTCTTGCCTTCCCCAGAGATTTGTGTGTGGGTGGAAAGCAGAGACACCAGCAATCCCGCTTTTCACTGGCAGTATCTAAAATCCAAATAGCTTAGAGACATCATATATAAAGGGCTTTTGGACACAATTTTGGTGGGGGCGATAAACCATGCTTTTGAGGGAGACAACTTCCACACAATTTCCTTAAAAATTGTACTTTGTTACAGGTAAATTGCATTTCCCCAGCACTCAAGAAATTTTCCCTGGGAAGATATAATTCTTTTCCAGATAGCAACTCAAAAATTTTTTCCCTGGGAGAATATAATTCTTTTCCAGATAGCATTTTTCTTGGTTATTGTACATTTTGTGTGGAATGCAGGTAAATTACTATTGGCACCTTTTGTGCCCAGATTCACTGGAAACTCTGTACTCCATGTCTTGTATTGGGTACACATCTAGTCATTGAAAAGAATAGAAGTACAGTAGCAATAAACAGAAACACATCTCCCCTCTCTATTATACACAGACAGTACACAAGGTAATTGAAAATGGGCCTGTGGAAATTTTGCTGAAAGGTTAAAATGTAGTTGAAAGAAGTTTCGCTTGTACACAAAGGACCTAACAGGCTGTCAGCGCTGCTATACTTCCATCACAACTGCTAAATTTGCCCAACTAGCAAAACCATGTTCAGACAACAAGGGCTTGGGGAGAGGGGTCTTTGTGCCCTAGAACTCTTGTGTCCCAGGCAAAACTGCAATTATTTCAGCACTATATTAAAGTCTTTCAGTGTGATCTGATGGCACAAATTAGAGCTTACCATTTCTCTAAGTCTGAGCTTTTATGTTGCTTTTAAAATTCTATCATCCACCACAAATTTTTTAGATAAAATGGTCTAAAATAAATGCTTCAAATCCTGACTTGGATAGCCCAGGTGATCCCAATCGCATCAGATCTCAGAAGCCAAGCAGGGTCAGCCCTAGTCAGTACGTGGATGGGAGACTACCAAGACAACCCAGGGACCTTGCTACACAAAGGCAGGCAATGGCAAACCACCTCTGAATGTCTCTTGTCTTGAAAACCCTTTGGGGTTGTCATAAGATGGCTGTGACTTGACAGCAACCCATCCCCCCAAACTTCAACAAAAGGGAAGCTAGAAGCGCAGCACTGTATAATTGTGTAACAAAATTATTTGATTATGACCATTGTGAAGAGACATGGACTGGTTAGTGGATTAATACTCTAAGTACAAGATAGATTTGACAATATCGTAATAGATTAATGAGATTCATAGGAGACTTATATTTTTAAAAAGATATCAGGAAGATAGAGTTTGGCCAGTGCAGTATTCTCACCTCTGCACAAGAAGCTGAATCTGCTGAAATACAACTAATAATAGTACAGGAGTCCTATCCTCCTTTATAAGTGGACCAACAGCAAGAGAGGGAAATACAGAAGATCACACAGAATATACAAATTTGGAAAGATACTTCATAGAACAAGAAGGCTGACAGAGAGTAATGAAACTGATCACTACCTATGCTTACTCTACACACAAGCCAAAGGGGTCATAGTTCTAATCTAGCAACTAGCCCATCAAATCCTACTGCATTTACTTTAGCAAACACTTCTCTTTGAAAAGATTTTGTGATTCACACAAAGGCAGAGATAATACAGCATCTCTGCTCATATCTATGCAACTCCCACAGTACCTTTCGATGTATCTTGTGCATACCTGCATGGCATATAGCCGACAGTCTTTCCCATTTCAGTCTCTGTGTTCTACTGTTTTGCAAACATACATTTACAAGATGTTATAAGAGGTGGCTTTTCATTCTCCTCTCTCTAATGTCCCCAATGTGTTGTGGTCAGGACAGATTTAAAGACAACCTTCCTTTATCCAGAGCAACTCGGTTTTTATAGTGGAATTGGTTATCTTTAATAAAGTCTAAAGTGAGGATATATCTTAAACTACCACAACTACTGAACTGACCATTCTACTAAACGGGATAATACAATTAGAGGAGATTAGCAGTTCACCATTGAGGCAGCATTTCATTTTATTGACAGCCCTCACTTATGAATCTTTACTCAGAAGAAAGTCACACAGAGTTCAATAGGGCTTATTCCCAGGTGAGAAAGCATAGGACTGGAAGCTTGAGACACTCTCCACACAGCTGTACCTATCAGATAGAAGACCCTAGATCTTAATCAGACGTTCTCTCATTACTTCAGCAGGCAAGAAATAATCAGGTTAAAATTTGTTATATACACTTGCACTATATGCATGTTAAAACTGACAAAATTGATTGCTTCCATAAGTAACTTAATACCAGGAACGTCAATGAGGAATGGATTTGGGAAGGCTCAGAGTTTCTTTCAAGTGAAAGCAGATTAACTGATACATTGTACAAGATCATCTCCCTAAAAACAAGCCCTCTTCTTCCAGTCTCACAACAGAAGCTTAAATTACTTAGTGCCAACAGTCATCCCTGGAGGAGGGGGAAGAGTACTGGCAAGCATGCCAGCTAGTTAAAGTGCACATGACTAAGTTAAAGGCTGACATGACTAAGCAGTTACCATTCATGGCAGATATATACAAGGAAAAAACATTTTTCACACCTTATAATTTTTTTGCTGCCACAAATTAAAACAACTACTGTTCTGGAATTATACACAATAGAATTTAGGTGCACAAGTCTTGCATTCCAGTGACTTTGACACAGGAATGTCAAAACTTAAAAACCCCTTACAGCTATACAAACACTGAAAATAGTTCTGAAAACAAGATTTACAACCCAGGATCTCAAATTGTGTTATTTAAGCTCAGTGCTATAAACCAGAGATGATATTCTCATATAAATTTACCTTGCTAGTTCAGCCACCTTTCACCATTGTGAATCAGGACACATTTGTATCTCTAAAATACTGAGAGCCACCTTACTTAAGGGTTTACTAATTATTCAAAGAGTTACTACTTATATGGTTTTGGGGGAAACAGTCTATGATAGCGATCTCTTTTTTTTTTTTGTCTTCAATCACCACACACACACACACACACACACACACACACGAAAGAAAGTGTGATGCTTCCCATTTAACAGGCCCCGGGCATTAGGCACAGATAGCTCTCTGTCATCATGACACCCAGAAAGAGGCACCGCTACCAAGTTTTTTTCATTTTAAACTCCCTCCATCTCCCGGTCACCATGTTCGCTAAGCCTAACCTTGTTAAGCTACCTGGAGGTGATAGTGGTGGGCCCAGCATCTTCCCCAGGCCCCCCCCCCCCATTTTGGGACACGGATGCAGAGAGGAGAAAGAAGGGGTCAGAAAAGACCAGCTCCTCTCCTCCCATCACTTTGGGGCATCAGCCTTTGTAGATTAGGCATGCTCCCCATCCCTCGATGGTGAGAATGAAGCTCGCATCTCTTTTCCTCCCCGTCCGGGGGAAAGACCGAGAGGTACCCTGCCCGCTCACCCCTCCCCCCCGCCATAGTACTAGGGCAAAGGTACCAGGGAGAACTGACAGAGACGGAGGCGGCGGGCGGGTCTCCGTCCTCTCCTCACCCCCCCGCCCCCTTACCAAGCATGATAGGGCTGAGGCGCCGAGCCATGCCCTTGGACAGGTCGTAAACGTAGAGCTTCACAGGGTACAGCATCGGAGGGGAGTCCATGGCATGAAGAGGAGTGGGGGGATGACTGGAGGAGAGCGACGGGGACTCTCCTAATGGAGGGACTCGGGAGGGAAAGGAAGAGCCCAGCCAAGCCGGCTCCTGCAGCCCCTCCGCTCTCCGGCAGTTGCTGGTGTTATGACCCAACTGACAGAAGGGACGGCAAAGAGAGGAGGAGGGTCGAGGAAGAGAACGTCCCCTCCACGCATGCGCCACCCCTCACAGCCGACACCTCCGCCGCCTGTCACTGCGCCTCTGCTGGGAAGTGGTGCTGAGCGCTGGAAGGCGGAGCTCCGGTGGGCGGAGCAAATGAGGACAATGTGAGAGAGTCTGGCCGCGGGCGATTGGCTAGAATATGGAGGGCGTGGGCGGAGTTACATTGTCTTGGGGGCGCGGCTTGATTTGGTAACGGTGCGGTAAGAATCCTCGGAGTCAAGTCTAGGTTAGTTCCTCGGCTTTCCGAGTAGAGCGTGAAGAACCAAGGCGCTTCCCCTAGTGGTACTTTGCCGTTAGGCCATTGTGCTTCTGGGGGTGGAGACTGGGCGTGACTGAGAGGTCACACTGAAGTTCCGGCGCTGAAGCGCCTGGGAGAGGAAAAGAAGCGCTTGCAGACATTCCGAGGCTGTGAGGCGGCTGGGGTTTTTCTGTGTAAGGGGGCTCGGCTGACGGTAAGGGCCGTACTCGCGCTGAAGTACCTGGAGGTGGTGCTCTTGCGAACAGCTGTCCTCCCAGGGCAGACGGGGTTGATGCTAAGGAAGTTCCTTCCGCTTTGCTTTCTGGCTGCTGTGACCTGGGCCCGATGTGCAGGCCTTTCCTCACGATTCTCCATGCTAGGTCTACAGCTGCGTTTGCCAGCCTTTTCTGTCTGGTGACCTTCAAGTCCGATTTTGCTTGGTATGGTGACCCATCCAGGGCTGGCCCAAGTTTTTATTTTTTTGCGTCCTAGGGAAACTATGACCTTGGTCCCGTTCAGCATCCCCCTTTCTACAGTGGCTGACCAGATGCTTCTGAGAAACCACCAAATGTCACTCAAAGGGCGCAGCTGCCCCCACTACGAACCCCAAGCGAGTGACAGTCCGGCATATACAACCGTTGCATATGGAAGTTGCATTCCAGTTTTTTACCACTCTCTTCTCCATTATTACCGCTAACCCCCCCTAAGATTCTAAGAAACGTTCTAGTATCCATCAGAACATGTTTTACTTGATCAACATGTATGCAGTGAAGGAAAAATATCAACTAACATATGACATGGAAGATACTGTTTCCAGGGTCATATCTTGGTTTCCAAAATACAGAAAACAACAATAGAAAGGGCACAGTGGTCATTAGGGAGGGCTGGCCCATGACCCTCTTTCAGAGGTTTTGCAACCCACTTTTGGGTCCTGACACACAGGTTAGGAAACACTGGTCTAGAGGTTACTGTATTTCTCAAGTGATTCCAGGCACTTGGCAATGTGAGACTCTGATGAATTGGCAGCTGGTCTCAGAACTTGAATAAAGGTTTTGGATTGTTCTGTTGAAATAAATGTCTCTTGCTTGGTTCCATTCTAGGAGAGCAGCTGTATTACTCTCTTTACCCCAAAGCAGCTTATAACATCTTCCTCTCCTCCATTTTATCCTTGTAACAACCCTATGAGGTAGGTTAGAATAAGAGAGGGACTGGCCCAAGGTTACCTAGTGAGCTTCCAGGGTAGAGTGAGGATTTGAACCTGGGTCTTCCGGATCCTAGTCCATACACTGTACTGGCTCTGTTGAGATATGAACTTTTGTGTCCAAAAATCTACTTCATCAGATGTGTTTCGCTGAGGATTAAGCATATAAACAAATGTTACAGGACCTGCTCCCAATATGCCAAGCTCATCTACCTGTGTGTAAACAAACACTGAGATCAGCCAAGAGGCCTTTGCCTTCTTATTGATTATGTACCAAGTTAGGATGGCAAGGAACAGAAGACTTCTTGATAGTGTGATACACTTCCTCTGAAGAATCGATCATGTGCACAGGAAATAAATCCTACTGGACTCAGAGGGATTTATTTTCAAGTAAGCATGCATAGGCTTGGGCTACACAAATATAGGGGGTTCCCGGTTTTTGAAATAGTTTATGTGTGAGTTGCTTTCACTGTTTCAGTTTCTGTGTAAGATCTGAAGCAAGATCTCAGCATCCTGTATCTTCTTCACAGTGATATGCCTAGTCTGTGATCACATCTGTAGTTCCTCGTACTTTGAAGGTGTGTGGTTCCCCTAATGGTATTACTCCAGGAGCATCAAAAAGTGTGTCTGCCATTGTTATAGTTGAAGTAGATTAGTTGAAGTAGATGAGAGTATATTCTGCAAGTGGTGTAAGCCTTGCTTGGCTGTAGGTGGCCAGGAACAGATCTGTTATCTTGACATCAATTATTTATGCAGGACATTTCTGAATAACAGAATTGGCTAGTTGGCTGGCAGTGATTCTTAGAGGCAGGCAAGTGATTTTTAGCAATCATGGAATCACCTGTCTACAGAAAATCAGAAATAATGTTAATGTTGCAAAAAGAGCAGCTGTTGTGGGAAGGTTGATACAGATACAATGATTTCACTTTATTTGCTGATCTTCACATTCTTCCTCTTAGGCTGATATTATAAAAAGTTTTTTTATTATTACATGTGGTGTGGTGAGTTTACAGAATTCTTTTAGCAGGGTGGACAGTTTGCTGACAATGAAAGGGTTGCTGTTTTGTATCCAGTCACATATTTTCAAAAACTTCAGGGCACTCTTGTCATCAGAAGCAGCAATTTCTGGGCTCAGTGGGCTGCAGTGGGAAAGGGAAGCCCCACTCCTTCAAGGACTGCTCTGTGAGTGGCTTGATACCAGCCACTGTGATTCAAAATTAGCCTTGGGTTTCAAACCTAGACCCTTGCATAATGGGAGAGGTACATGCACAATCTCCTTTTTAAATGAAAAGCAGCCTTTTTGGCTTTGGCTCCGGCCTGGTGGAACACTCTCTCAAAGGAGATCAGGGCCCTGCGGGATTTGTTGCAGCTCCGTAGGGCCTGTAGAACGGAGATGTTCTGCCAGGCCTACGGTTGAGGTGGCAGAGATCCAACTCCATTGGCCTCCCTTACCCTGCTTCTGCGCCATCTATGTGGCAGTGTCCATTGCTCTCTGCCATTTGCCTAATACCTGGTTCCATCAATGGGCATACATACTGAAAGCCCTCTGGGGCTGCTTACTAACTGTCTTTGATTGCTATCCTATGTAGTATTTGCTGCTGTATAGGTGTTTTTTAAAAAATATTGTGTATATTGTGTTTTAATTGTTTTATCTTATTGTGTATATTTCTGTTGTAACCTGCCCTGAGCCCTGCTGTGCAGAGGAGGGTGGGCTAAAAAATTCAAATAAAGAAATAAACCTGCTAATTTGAGTGAGGAGATTGTAGGGAGGGAGATTGCTTAACTATGCACTCAGAATTTTGGACTAACCTGAGTTTGGACTAACTTGCTAAACAATATCTTCTAACTTCTTCTGTTCTCTGTAGTGAGACGTGTAAGCCATGTCAGACTGGGTATCATACTACAAACATGAAGAGGGCGAAGAAGAGGAGGATCAAGATGGAGAAGTTGAAGCCATTGGTAAGAGTCATCCTGGGGGCTTTTGCTGTTACTTTAACTTAGGGAAATGCTGAACTGAAGTTGCCGCTGGCCTGAGAACATCTGGGAACTAGTACAGGCAGGGATCTGCACATGAGAAAACTTATGCGGAATTTGGTAGACTTTGACAACTGGTGCACAATACTAGGGTAAGTGTTTTTTTTTTAAAAGATAGCTGCTGACAAAAGTAAGTAAAATATGTAGGTAGTGCCTATTTTAGATATGCAGGTAGTGTCTGAAAAAACTTCCTGGTTAGAGGCTGCAGTTTCTATTAGAGATGTAAAATTTCCAGAAATGTTGAAGCGTGGGAAAAAACCCATTTTGGGGGAAAATGGAAATTTTTGGAAAAATTTGTTGGGGTGTGGCCATTGCAGGCCAGTTTGGTCCAAGAGACTGAAGTGTGTGGACTCTAATCTGGGAGAACTGGGTTTGATTCCCCACTCCTCCACTTGCACCTGCTGATGTGACCTTGGGTCAGTCACAAGCTCTGGCACAGCGGTCCTTGAAAAAGAGCAGTTTGTGTCAGAGTTCTCTCAGCCCCACCCACCTCACGGGGTGTCTGTTGTGGGGAGGGGAAGGGAAGGGAGTTTGTAAGCCGCTCTGAGACTCTAAGTGAAGGGCGGAGTATAAATCCAATCTCCTCCTCCTCCTCCTCCTCTTCTTCTTCTTCTTCTTCTTCTTCTTCTTCTTCTTCTTCTTCTTCTTCTTCTTCTTCTTCTTCTTCTTCTTCTTCTTCTTCTTCTTCTTCTTCTTCTTCTATAACCGAGCTGAGGCTCTGGTCCACAGTCTTGTTCTTGCTGAAATCACTGAATAAAGTAGACTCGATCACTAGACTGGGAGTCTGTTAATCCATGGAACCCACTATTTAACATAAGGACTCTTGGATTTCCATCCCTACTGGTATCTAACAAAGGGAACTCTCAAAAACTACTGTAGACCAACATGACTGTCCTCTGAAGCTATACTCTGGCAGCAGGCTCCTTGGACCAGCGGGAGTCTCCAGGATGAGTGAAATGGCTCCTTTCTGTCCAAGAGACTGAAGATAATTTGCTGATGCACAAATAAACTTTTTTAAAAAAAAAAAATTAGCACATTTTATGGGAACATTTTATCGCCAGGGAAGACAGGCTAGAACAAGAGATCAGTTTGCACAAGGGAGAAGTGAAATTGATACGGGGCTTTTCAAGATGAAAGAGCAGGGATGAGAAAATTGAAATTCAACACAAACATAACCGTTAAAATCGGCGCCCGGTTTTGCATATAAATGGCATGAAGGTTGAGTAAAAACGGAATAAACAAAACGAACAGAAAAAAAGAGAGCAAAGAAAATAGGCAGGATAAAAATATTTTTGAGAAATATGTATGAACACTTAAAAAAAAAACACCCTGACACTATTCGGTATAAGGGAGCTTCCTGTGTAACCATGCATGTAACTAAAGCTTCAGGGGTACCAAAACATATATAAACTGACCTTGTTACCCAGAATTAGGGTTGCCAAGTGGTACTTACCCTGCCGGTGGGGGAATCCTGTTTGGATCCCGGCGCGCGTGCCCGCCACATCCACATCACAGGGAAGTGACATCATGACGCCGGGCATGCTGGGGGCAGGGCCATGACCATACAAGGGAAAACCATAGAGTTTTCCCTTGTATGGCCATGGTCCTGCCCCCAGCGTGCCCGACGTCATAACGTCACTTCCGTGTGACGTGCATGCTGGGGCAGGGTTCGGCCCGATTCCCGGGTGTCGGGAAAGGGGCCTCTGGGGCGGGGGGGTTTCCGCCCCCCAGGGGGACTTGGCAGCCCTACCCAGAATTAAACTTTGTTGGTCTTAAAGGTGGCACTGGGCTTGAACATCACAATAAATGAGTTAAAAATCCAACTAAAATCAGATAATCCATATCACATTAAGATTATTATTCAGAACCATACCAATATCAAACCAGCCCAGAAAATCTGATTAACCTTCGGAACCATTCGACCTCACAAACCCTGCAGAAACGAAAAAAGTCCTGCAGGGCGTGGGTGTCACAAGAGAGTGAATTCCATTGGGTGAGGGCTAGAGATGTAAAATTTCCAGAAATTTTGAAGCTCAGGGGGAAAACCCCAGGTTTTTTTCCATTTTTTTCTGGGGGAAATAGAAATTTTCAGAAAAAAATGAAAAAAAATGTTACATTAGGACTTCTTTTTTTTTTTACAGATTGAAAGTCATTCTGTTACTTTAGGGACATAAAATATAACTACGGATAATTTTACTTGGCATGAAATGATCACAACTAACATATTAAAAACATATTTCATATAAGCAACATATTTCAATACAAAAATTGAGTAAGAGTGTGATTCATTTATCGGTTTGACCCTGTCTTCTACAGGAGAATATAAATATGCAGGTCGGGACACCTTGGTTTTCTTGGTGGATGCTTCAAGAGCCATGTTTGACTCCTATGATGATGATGATGATGATGACTTGGCTCCTTTTGATATGACAATCCAGGTAAGACCAGCAGTTAATAATTAATGTTGGTTGCACATCATGTAGTTTGAAAGAACCCATCTTGTAGCTACATTAGTAGAAATTATTCACCAGAAGGTAATAGAACTATCAGTTTGTTTTGCTTATCTCTGTGTTGTCTATGTACTACCCTGGGATGTATAAAGCATTGCAAGGAGGATAAAACCGGTGCTCTTTCAACTTTCTTTCTTTTGTTGAAACATTTTTTAGTATACAGTTTAGATGCTGTCTATGCTTAGAAAGGAGACAAAAATCTGTTGGCAGAGGAATAGCCTCTGGAAATTATTCTGTCTTCATCCATAGGTGATTTTAAATAATTGGAAAAGTTGTATTGTATGCTACAATGTAATATATTAAGGTCTAATTCTTAGGAATTGAAATTGCATTATATATCCAGAAATACATATTGTTATGATGTTTAGGTCCTATGGGGATGGGCATCTTCCTAAGTACCATGCAGCCCAGTCCTATCCTTTAAAAAAAAAAAAAATTCAAAATACTGTGCATGCTTACTCAGAAGTAAGTCCTACTGTGTTTAGTAAAGCTGAGTCCAACTAAGTGTGGACAGGATAGTTCTGGAACTATCAAAACGATTTCTCTATAAAGGCAATATCGAGCTTTCTAATACAACCATCTAGATTCCAGTATATGTAAATGTCCTGTGAAGTGTAGTTCAAAACATCGTTATAACCCTTAAAAATAGAAACTGCAGTTTTAATTTTTTATGGTAGTCCCGTTCTTTTTCCAGCTAACTTTTTTTTTTTTACTAGTGTATTCAGAACGTGTACACAAACAAGATCATCAGTCATGACAGGGACCTTGTTGGTGTAGTATTTTATGGCACTGAGCAGTACAAGAATTCCGTGGACTTTAAGCACATTTATGTCCTTCAGGATTTGGACAATCCAGGTAAAGAGAATCTGTAAAGCTAATCTGTGGAGAGAGAATGCATTAAACAGGAATGTTCTGTTGACTGATCTGTTGCAATTCAGATTTTTCCTCTGCCTTGTTTTCCCTCACAGTGCTGCTGATTCTTACTCATTCTGTAAGACTTTCCATCAGTAGAGTTTTCACTGTGCTTTTTACCTGTGGTGGCTTGTACTTTATTACAGTTGAAACAGAATAAGACTAGATCATGCAATACACACTTTATTGCTCCCAGTGGACCTTATAAAAAAATTCTATAGCCTATCTAGTCCTTATCTAGCTCACCAGATTAACTCAGTTTGCTTGGCAGTTCCAAGATAGAACTCTGTTAATTGCCTGGGCTGATTAAGCTTTGAACCCCAGTCAGCCCGGCAGAACTTTACTCTGCTTTCTTCCAAATTCATGGCCCCTTTATTCATTGCTTATTAGATCCCCAAAGTTGTAATAAGCTCTTATTGGTCTCTGTTGATCTGAATTTGGGTTCTAGATTAAAGCAACTCTATTATAAATCTTATTTCTTCTATTGAGTTATCTATTCTTTATCTATCTTAGGACCTGTGTACCAGCCATCCCTAAATACATTTGTACCATATCTCTTTAATTATGTTAGTGTAAGGAATGAGCCCAGCCCTGAAAATTAGTTATATAAAACATCTCTTAGTTAGATTAAAGGTGTGGTATATCATGATTATCTTAGTAGAACACAGCTCACTACATTCTTAGGAACTGGCATTTGTTATTTTATCAAAACATTCCTCATAGATCCTTGACTAGCCTTATATTATTGATCAAGAATTTTTCCCGCTTGGCTTCAGTTTGTCTTTGGGTTCATTCTCGTTCCACAATTTGCCTGCCTTTTCCCAAATGCCTGACATTTCACTTAGATTAGCATTCCAGACTGTGTTGACTCAAAAGCTAAAGATCAGGAGGCCTGTATTAAACATACAATGACTAATAAAATGGCCAATTAATAAAATTTGTCAACAACAGCATTTCAAAGAATAAACTTCTTTGCAGTGTTTCGGTATAGCAATATTTTCTTTGAGGTACAACAAAAGTGGCCCTTCTTATGGGTTTATCTGGGGTAACTTGGTCTGTGTTGCAAATGCATTTTAGTCTGCAGTGAAGTAGTTGTGAGGCAGCAGTTTACCATATGCTTTGTATGCCCTCTCCAACCCATTTATGGAATTTGTTTTGTGGAACCTTAAGCATGTGAGGACTTGAATGGGATCTGACTATAGCTTTTGGATCAGGTCATCTTGCTCCTTTTTTATTTATTTTTTTGCTAATAGAGTCATGTGAATTGGCCCTTAAAACAAAGGTATCATTGACGCGATGGGCCTCAGCTGTCTTCTGCTAATATTTTCCATTCTGTTATTCCTCTCTGTCCTTGCGTATCACTCTTAAGCCCCTTCAACAGGAGACTTTGAAAGAATTTTGAATTATTGTCTTTTAAAGGCTTATGCAGACACTTGGCAGTAATAGTACAAAAACTTTATGAGTCCTTTAAGGCATAAGAAACTGGTATTAGACTAAAAGGTTAAGCATAGTGAATGATGTGTAAAAATTGGCTAGCAAGTCTTGGTATAGAAGAGCAGCCATCATCTGCACTTCTGTTTTGTTGTGATGTGGGTAAACCACCGTTATCTGCTTTTGGTTTCTGTTGTCTACTATCAGGGGCAAAACGAGTGTTAGAACTAGGCAAATACAAAGGAGAACAAGGAAAAGCGCTCTTCCGCAAGTCATTTGGCCATAGTACTGATTACTCTTTGGGTGAAGCACTCTGGGTTTGCTCCAATCTCTTCAGTGAAGTCCGCCTTAAGATGAGCCACAAGAGGGTCATGCTGTTCACCAACGATGACGATCCTCATGGTAACGACAGTGTCAAAGCCAAGTTTGCTCGGACTAAAGCTGCTGATCTTCGAGAGACAGGTCAGTACTTTGTATTGAAAATGATGCTTCCTTTCAACCAGCCAAGTAGTGTTTACTCAGTGCTATCTTTTGATATGTTATTTTTTAATTTTATTACATTTCTAGTCCTCCCCTGCATAGCAAGGCTCAGGGTGGATTGCAACAGTAAAATAATTTACAATAAAATAGTCAACATGATGTCAACTGTCAATAAAATCCAATTATAAACATCATATCATATGGTGCCAAATGATATACTTACTCATGTGTCCATTCAAACATCATATCATATGGTTACAGGAGGTGGGTAGATGAGTAGAAACCAGTAGGATAAAGATGCACCAGGAGAGGCCGGTACTAATTGAATTCCACTGCCTCAACCATAGGCCTGGCAGAACATCTTTGTTTTACAGGCCCTGTGAAACAGTAATAAGTCTTACGGGGCCTGGATCTCTCTTGGGAGAGTGTTCCACTTGACAGGTGCCAGAGCTGAGAAGGTTGTGGCTGTGGTTGAGGCTAAGTGGACCTCCTTCAAACTGGGGATCACCAGCAGATGTTGATCCATCAAGCGTAATGCTCTTTGAGGGACATACCGAGAAAGGCAGTCCTGAAGGTATGTTGGCTTTAAAGGTCAAAACCAAGATCTTGAACTTAATCCAGGATTCAGCTGGGAGCCAGTGCAGCTGGCAGTAAGAATATGCGCCACTGCATTCTGGACCAGCTGCAGTTTCCAGATCAGTTTCAAGCGTAGCCCTGCATAGAGTGCATTACAATAGTCCAGCCTGGAGGTTGCAGGGAGGCAGGGAGGGAACCAGTTGCTTGACCTGCCAGAGGTGGAAAAATGCAGATCTAGCAACATTCATGGCTTGGGCCTCCATTGATAATGAGGCATCCAAGATCACACCTAAGCTCTTCACTGTTGGCGCTGGTGTTAACAAGAAAACTGGCCTGAGATTGACTCCAGTGCCGTTTGATAGGAGTAATCTTTTTGTTTGTCTAGATAACTTGGTTTTGGGTATCAGAAATGTTGTACAAGGATTTGCTATGAATTGATATCCATGTTTGAGTCATGACTAGACAAACCTTTTTTTTTAATGGAAATATCCCTCTGATTAAGACTTGTGATGGAAACTGACCCTAAAGCAGGGGACATGTTCTCTCTGATTCATTGCCAAACATAATGTAATTGGTTTAGTACAAAGGTTATTTTTCTTTGAAGTAGGGGAAAAACCAAATATGGACTCCACCTTCAATCTCTTTCTCAGGATCTTTGTTCTTATTTTTTCACCATTTAAGCCGTTCTGCAAAATGTAGACCTGTAAAATGTTTGTCCTAGTATACTCAGGAAATTGGTTACTTTTTCCCTATTCTGCTTTAACTCCAGGTATTTACCTCGATTTAATGCACCTGAAGAAGCCTGGGGGGTTTGATATTGCCTTGTTCTACAGGGATATCATTTATACTGCAGAAGATGAGGACTTAGGAGTGCAGTTTGGTGAATCCAGCAAGTTAGAAGACCTAATGAAGAAAGTAAGAGCAAAGGAGACCAGAAAGCGAGCTTTGGCTAGGTGAGTATCAAGAGAAATTTCTCCTGATCAGCTGCTGAGGGGAGAGGGTCAAGATACCTGTAGGCAGCCTTCTCAATTAGACAGACTTATTAAGAAATGAGAGCTGGATAAATATTAAACTATGGAAAGTTTATGCTGTTCTGAGAATCTTTTGATGTGCTTCATTTTTAAAAGTGGAAATTGGAATATAATGTATGATTTCTATATTTGAATCTATATTTGTTGATTCCTCACAGGCTGAACTTCTACTTGGGAAAAGATATGGCTCTTGCTGTTGGCATTTACAACCTGGTCCAGAAAGCTTTCAAACAGCCTCCAATAAAACTTTACAGGGAAACTAATGAGCCAGTGAAAACAAAAACCCGAACCTTTAATCGAGAGACAGGTAGTTTACTTCTCCCTAGTGACACCAAGAGGGCTCAGGTAATGCATCTTGAGAATTTAATCGCCCACCTTCCTTGAATTTTCCTATGTCAGAAAACTTGCAGGCCAATCTGGGGAAGCCTTTCAGGTACAAATCATAATATTGATCATGGTTGACAGGCTATAACAGTCTGGTCTATGTCTGCCTGTAGCAACTGCTTCATTCACTGGGTCCTGTTGTGATCCTTAAGACCTATTTGCATACAATTTATTGACCAAAGATGATTTTGGGAGATGAAGAAGAGAAGAGATTGGATTTATACCCCGCCCTTCACTTGGAGTCTCAGAGCGGCTTACAAACTCCTTTCCCTTCCCCTCCCCACAACAGACACCCCGTGAGGTGGGTGGGGCTGAGAGAGCTCTGACAGAAACTGCTCTTCTTCAAGGACAGCTGTGCCAGAGCTTGTGACTGACCCAAGGTCACATCAGGATGTGGGGAGGTTCCAAGCTAAGAATCCTCTTGTGACGGAGTAGCTGTTTCTTGAATAGGTGGTCCCTGCAGACATAAAGATGATTCCTCTTGGGGTCTTCTGAAGCCCTTCCTGTTCCAGTGAGATGGAGGAAATCCAGGACTGGCTGTTGGGGAACAGATGTTTTGGGCAAGAAGGAAGTTGGCACCATAGTGCCTATGAGCTCCTCAGTGGGGAATCTCTGATTCTAGGTCATAACGTGTTGTACATCAGAGTTGGTTTTAAGTACTTTCTTTAATTTTCTGTTTTGTTAAAACTACATTTTCTCCTGTCAGTCACAAATTAGGTTTTGTTAATACGGCAAGTCTTTTGTTGTTGTTTTGTTTTTAATGTGAAAGTGGTGCACTAATTCATGTCTTCACCAAGAAACAAAACATTCACTGTACATTCTAGATCAACTGGTGGACTTTAAAGGAAACCTGGCAAACGTTTCAAAAACATGAGTTGGTTTGGTGAGGTTTTGCTGTGTGCCTGGTTATTTTTATTGGGATTATAATGATTTCTGTGTATGTGTGTGGTTGGAAGCCACTTTGAGGTTGGTAGTGTGCGTGTGTTAAAACATCTCTTAAATAAGTAAAATACATAAGAAAATAGTGCTGGGTCCTATGAATGGGCTCCCCAGAGGCATTACTAATGTTTCTGGCAAGTGTGATGAACCCTGGCTCTCTGTCAGGCTGGGGCAGAATCTATTTATTTTTATTTCTTCAAATTTGTACCCCGCCCTCCTCGCCTAAGCACGCTCAGGGCGGCTTACGCAAATAAAAGCATACTAACATTCAGATATCATAAAATTTCTAAAACAATTCATTAAAAGCATATTAAAGTGCTAGCGGAAGTATTTTGCTGTCATAGAGATGGCATTATCTTAGTATTCAGCTCGTTGATCTTCCCATATATGATGGGCGGGCACAGGCTGTCAGTAGTAGACCAGGCACCAGGCTCTATAAGTTTCTGTTGCTATTAAAGTGCTGGTGATAATGCTGGTGATAATGGTGATGGTGGCGGTGGCTCCTAGTTGAAAGCCTGGTCAAAGAGCTCCGTCTTGCAGGGCCAGTGTTTCCTCTAAGCTGAGTTAGTGTGAGCTAGCTCACAGATTTTTGTCTTATCTCAGGGAGGATGGCTCCAGAGAAAACTAATTGATGCAGCAGCCAAATCGCCTGCTCACAACTTTAATGCCAATAGCTCACAAAGTAGATTTTTTGCTCAAAGAACTCCATAGCTTAGAGGGAACATTGATTATCACCATCACTTTAATAGCAACAGAAACTTATAGAGCCTGGTGCCTGGTCTACTACTGACAGCCTGTGCCCGCCCATCATAATGGGAAGATCAACGAGCTGAATACTTAGATAATCTATAGAATGTATAATGCCATCTCTACATACGCTTGGGGTCCCTATTGTTTGGCTCAGTCCACATCCAACGCATAGCCTGATGTGATTTGTGGACCCTTCAGATACCATTTTTTCACACTGATAATGTAGGTCCTTTAGACTGGTCGTATCCTTTTAAAAGCTGCTAAGAATAAAACATCTGAGGTACCAGATGGTCTAGCAGGCATCATTATGTTAAGCAAGACTGTGGATGCCATCTTTCTTTTTGTAGTTACTTCTCTTTTCCACCCTTCTGGCCCTCTTTTTAGACATATGGCAATCGTCAGATAGTGTTTGAAAAAGACGAGACAGAAGAAGTAAAGAACTTTGGTTCGCCAGGCTTATTTCTGATTGGCTTCAAACCCTTGGTAATGCTGAAACGACATCACCACATCAGGCCTGCCCAGTTCATCTATCCTGAGGAGTCCTTGATCAGTGGTAAATACATGCAGGAAGGACTGTCTACCTTGTTTTTATAACTATGGAATATTTTTCATGGATTAAAATAGGATTTCAAATATAAAAATGGGGATAATATCCCTGGATGAGGTGGGTTTTTCTGGAACCATACCTGTCAGAATTCAGAATAAGTTTTGGGACTGAAGCTTTTCCAAGGAGTCTGGTTGGCTCTTGTCATTGGAGTTGGGGACAGAGGATGTGTAATTCTGCCTATTCAGTTTTTTAAACTGTAGAAAGCTAGTCCTTCTGGACCATTTGAGATGAATGTGAGATGGGGGCACTGCTTTGGCAGTAGTTCTGTCTGGCTTTAGAGAGTGCCACTGGTAGCCATTTCTCTGCTTTGGGACAAGAGTCTGCTTTTTAAGATATATGTGCAACCCCTGAGATTGATCAGTGAGCAGTTTGGAGTACAATGCCATCAACATGCTTATGACACCTCTATTTTTCATAGAATCATAGAATCACAGAGTTGGATGGGGCCATATAAGCCATCTAGTCCAACCCCTGGTTCAATGCAGGATTTGGGCTGGTTGTGTCTTGTTTTGAATTATGCTGGATTCATTATTGATACAAGCTTTTTTAAAAAAATGTTTACACTGCCACATTAATGGCAAATAATCCAGCATATATTTTAAATATATAAAAAGTATCTATTTTATAGGACTGTTGTAAAGATTACTGAGGTAATATAAATGAACCAGTTTGAATACTTGAAGGTTATTATATCAGTGCTAAATACTGCTACAATCGAGAAAGAAAGCACATTTAAAAACAGAACCTGTTTCTGTCTTCTTCAAAATACAGACAGCCAACCACAGATACACAGTTACCCATAACTACTTCTGAAAATGCTTCAGTCTGCAGTTATATCAAATACGTGTGTCAGGTACCCGAATCATGTAGTGTAACAAGCGTGGAATTTTTCTTACAGGAAGCACAACGTTATTTAATGCTTTGCTAATCAAGTGTCTAGAGAAAGAAGTAATGGCTGTCTGCAGGTACATCCCCCGTCGCAATACCCCTCCCAGGTTCGTAGTCCTGGTTCCTCAAGAAGAAGTCCTGGATGAGCAGAATGTGCAGACAGCTCCCCCAGGTCAGTGATGTTCTTGGCTTTTCCATTGTGCATCTGGCTAGGGGTGCTGCTCTATCTGTCTGATGTGTAGTGTAGTGGTTAAAGTGTCAGAGTGGGATCTGGAAAACCCAGGTTCAAACCCCCACTCTTCCATGGAAGTTTGCCACTCACACACTCTCAGCCTAACCTACCTCACAGAGTTGTTGTGAGGATAAAATGGAGAATGATATAAGCTGCTTTGGGTCCCATTTGTGGAGAAAGGTGGGACATAAATACATTTTCTGCTATCTGATTTAGTGGAGGTTAATGTCTTTACATGATGGGGGGAAAGTACATATGAAGAGATTTTTCTCCATCTCTCATATCATACTTAGTTTTCAGTGTCTACCATGGACTGCTTTCAGCTGCGACTAATTAACAGCATCCTACGTTTTTAGATTTATATAATCAATAATACACAGGATTATTAGTATTTCGAGTACCTTGGTTTAATAATGATATAGGTCTGTTTCAGCACAACTATGTATATATCCAGTCACAGCAACTAGGAAAATTGGACTGGGTAAACAGTTTCTTTTTGATCCCTTTTCAGAAGCAAATTTAACTATGTGGGAAAACTTAGGTTTCAAGATTGCTTTTCTCCACTATTAGTGGGCAGATGCCAGAATCATAACTGTACAGTAGTTGCTTAGTCTGAATGTTGATTTTTTAAAAATATTTGAAATAACTTAGAACTTCTCTAAGCTCTCATGGTGGCAGACTGTCCCATTAAAACACTTACAAAACATTTTAGTCAAGTGAACTACCCTTTTGTGGTCTGATCTAGTAAAGGCAGAAGGTATTTTAGCTGCTGATATGTATAAACAAGTCACAGACATATGTCATGACCAATGTTCCCTCTAAGCTGTGGAGTCCTGTGAGCAAAAATTCTACTTTGTGAGCTACCGGCATCAAAGTTGTGAGCAAGTGATTTGGCTGCTGCATAGATTAGCTTGCTGTGAAGCCATCCCTTCCTGAGCTAAGACAAAAATGTGTGAGCCGGAGGCTAAAAAACTCTGAGCTGGCTCACACTAACTCAGCTTAGAGGGAACCCTGGTCATGACCCTGCCCTTCTGCCTCTGCCTTATCGGCTACTTTTCAAGCCACCGCAGAGACTACAGGGTGTTTACCTTACTTCAGGGTTGTATAAACCAGCACAACGAGAGCAGGAAAGATAATGACTGTTTGGTTTCCCTTTTTACTAAATAATGCCAATTAACCAAATATACGGGTCAGTGACTCTGTCCAATTAAAATAATACATAAGTTTATTATAAACAATTAAAAACACACAAGTTAGGGACAAGGAAAATGTACGTGGAACAAACAAAGAAACACAAAAGCTAACTAAACTGGCTCTATATTTCCCTGAGCTCTTGGCTCTAAGCGGCAACAAACGTAGAGGCTGGCTGGTGATTAGCAATCCGTCTGGTCCGACGTGCAGACCGTCCCGGCCTTCCACTCCAGCAACCGTGAGCAGTACAGCATAATGGCTAGATGCTTCTCTCTTGCAAGCCTGCGTCTGCTAACTGGCTTTGCCTCGGCTCCCACTAAATAGCTGGCCGGCTGTCAGCCAATCCTAAACTAATTGGATGTTCACACGTGGCTGACTTAGATGGAGAACTGTCAAGATCTAGCTGAGTCATTTCTTACTCTGACAGTTGCCAGGTGCACTAGCTTACAATAGCCATTAATTAGATCCAGATGTCACTTAGCTGACCTACTTCGCTAACTACATCCTAGTGCCTTACATTAACTGTCTGGCTACAGCAATCACTTACAGTTGTTTAAAGGGGGAATATCTTGACAACATACTAAAGCCAATTTGCACAATATATAAGAAATGGAATACAGAGTTGGTAAGACTGTTGGCATTGACACAATAGTACAGCACTATTAGTTATTAGATTTAAGAGTCTACAATAAAAAACATGTTTAAGAAAAGATTTTAGACTGGTAATTGCACTTATGCCTCAAAAACATAGAAATTAACAGTTAGGGGTGCTGCATTCTGAAAAATGAGATTATTGTTTTGACTATTGAGAATTTGTGTCCATTTCCATATGTGCTTTTATGTATCTTCTCTCACGGTATTTGATTTTTTGTCTTCCTCTCTTAGGTTTTCATGTGATTTTCCTACCCTATGCAGATGACAAAAGGAACATTGACTTTACTGAAAAAGTCCCAGCTAATCAAGAACAGGTGGACAAAATGAAGGAAATTGTCCAGAAGCTTCGGTTCAAGTACAGGTGAATAGAAAACCACATGACTAGAAAATGAATGGCATATATGTGCCTAACAGTTCTTGGGGTTCCAAAGAGACATCCACAATGAACATTTTATTAACTACTGTATAGTACTACTGTAATATGTAGTACTTCTGCAGTTCTCAGCAACTATTCTCTGGGTTATAACACTGGCTACCAAACCTGAAATCTAAGTTTAGATTGACTTTAAAAGCCTGAAGAGTGCAATATCCTATGAAACTTATTTTTAAGACAGGCAAAGCATCCCCATATTCCAAGTTTAGGTTCTCTTGCTCAAGTGTTATTGTGATGGTATCATAAAACTCTCGACTTACTCAGCTAAATCCCCTAGCACCCGTTACAATACAGTGTCTTACAGCTGGTAATTAAGCCAAAGCATATCTATACATAAAGAACGAATTACTTTTATAGAAAAACTAAGAATGGATGGGATGAATTGCATTCTAACCTCCAACAATGAATAGGGGTTGCTTTGAAATGGACAACATTCTGACACAGAAAACATCCAACCTGAGTAACATATACTGGAAGTCAAGAACTTGTTTGCAGCTTTTACGAGCTACTGAGGCTTTTAAAAATAAGTATTTTGTCATATTTGAAGTGGCCTTCCAGGTGTTCAGTGATGAAAGACTTTTTAAGGATTGCAAATGGATTAATGTAGCTGTCATTGTAAGGGCTATCTAAGCCTGTGGCATGCAAAGAACAAGGCTAGTACTACTCATTCAGAGTTATTTGCCATGGTCACATATAGCTTGCCATAGAACAATAGTTTTGATATTTGTGGTCTTTCTACTACATAGAGCAGAGTTAAACTAGCCTATTTTTGATTATAATGGCACATCAAAAATAATTAGTGTCTAAGTAAATAGCACTCTGGTATTTTGTAATGTTATTTCTTGAAGAATAGGAGCCATAAGGCAACAGGATGGAGATAAAAATATGGAGTATATATGATCTTCATTTCTTGTATTTTATAAAGCTTTGCTAATAGAGCCAGAGCTGCTGACATCTCAGTTACTTTAGGATGAAGATAATCTATTACTTTTAGTGAAATGCTGTAGATCTTTTTGAAAAACCATCTGAGGATATTCATGTTAGGACTGAGCTGGTACCGTCTGCTTTTCTTTGACGTCCTTGGCATTTTCCCCCCTGGGGTGTCTCCACAGGAGTGACAGCTTTGAGAACCCAGTTCTCCAGCAGCACTATATGAACTTGGAGGCCTTGGCCCTTGACCTGATGGAGCCTGAGAAGGCTGAGGATCTGACAGGTAAAACTAATTCAGGGAAATAGATTTCTTTGGCTTTTTCTTAGTCATAAATGTTTAGAAACAGAATTATGGGGTATTAGGTATTTTAAAATTATTAAAACCTATGGTGTTGCAAGAGGTGAAATATATGGTTGGGATTAAACTAAATTTGTGACTTTTTGTGCTGCAGCTAAAGACTGCCACAGAACAGTATGTAGGACATTCACTGTTTTACCTGAAAGCTGAAGTTCTGTCTAGATTTCCATCCCGAGTGGCTTATCTGCCCCTAGGTACTTTTTAAAAGAAGATCCAAAGTATTTATTTTTCATTTCCAAAGACAGACTACAGCTAAATAGGCCCTTCGCGAGAAGAAGGGGCGGAGGCAGTCTCGTCCTCCGGGCCCAGCGGCGGGCAGAGCAGTGCCAGTCTGCTGCTGCCCCGGTTCCTGCCACCGGGGTTGAACAGGAGGTGGCATTTGGTGCGGAGGTGGGTCTGCAGCACGGAGGCCTCGCGGTGTGTCCGGTGGTGGTGGCAGGGCACAGCACAGAGTGGTGTCAGAGCCACTTCGTGTGAGGTGGACGACTGACGACAGGGCTGCCAGTGGAGGGGCGGTCTCCTGGTGTAGCAGCAGCCACCGCCCTGCTCTCGCTTCCTCCTCGGCTGCTTCCAAGGCCAGTGGCACCTCAGCGCAGTTGGCCCATGCTGCGGAGTGCTTGTGGAAGCAGGCCAGGGGCAGGCGGGCAGGCAGGAAGAGGCGCCGGTCTCTGTATGAGGAAGAAAGAGGAGGCCAAGCATGGCAAGGGTGGGCTGAGATAGTGCTGGGGTGTCAAGTCGCCTGGGCAGCCATTGGCGTGGGAGTACCCTGCGGGCCCCCGTCTGCTCGGCTGCCAGAGGTTCGGGGCTTGTTCCTGCCGGGCGGCAGACACAGCAGCGGAGGGGGCCCCCCCGAGCATGGGAGAGAGCCCATTGGGCGGCGTTCCTCTTCCCACCCAGGTGTCCGAACGTTTTTGCCCTCTCACTCCTCTTCCCTGCATCTCCCAGTTGGTCTGCTCATCCTCCGGCCGCTGGAGCGTCCGTCCCGTGGGCTGGCTCAGAGCACACTGAGCCTGAGACGCTGGCGACTGCCTCTGTGGACAGGACGGAGACAAGGGAGCCAGCCAATACAGCCAGGGTATCCTTCAGAGTGGCAGGCGAGGGAGCCGAAGGCTGCAGGAGCATGTGCAGAGGTCATACCAAAAGTTATACATATAAGGAGACTTTCATATATAAGGAAAGATACTTTAGTAATACAGATTTTGCAGTAGAAGCAATGTTCCTCTTTTGTGTTTAAAACTTGATCATGTCATTAAACTTGTTTACAAACATTTTTGCATAACCTTTCTTTTATAATGCCATCACTTCAGTATACTCTAGTATAATTCAGCCATTCTCTTTTAAGCTTTGGTAGGGTTTTTTTTTATATTCCAGTGCCTAAGACTGAGGCAATAGACTGCAGGGTAGGTAACCTTGTGGAGGAATTCAAGCAGCTGGTTTATCCACCTGATTATAATCCTGAAGGGAAAGCTACAAAGCGCAAACAAGGTAAGATTACAAAGGTGCGCAAAAATCTGTAGAATGGGTTTATGCACTTGTGTATTAATACTACTAGGTGAGCAACTGTTTTGTTCGCCTTTTGAGGGATGTTTGCTGTTAAATACCTACCTTCCTTTTCTACTTTTGAATGGTGTTGGATTATCCTGGCCCCAATTCCATCTGTTTTATGAATCATAAACGATCAAAACACTTAGTGAAACCAGGTAGTTAAGTTTATTCAGTAGATACTACGAATGAACAGTGCTTGGAGTGAAAGACATTTTGTTACTTAGCTATTCAGGATATTTTGCAAAGGAACATATTCTTGAATTGTTGGATAAACTGTTTATAAAACATGGATCTCCATCTTTTTCTAACAGGAGATGGCTCGGAACAATTGGAAAAGAAAGCAAAGATCGAAATCTCTGAAGAGGAGCTAAAGAATCATATTAGAAAAGGCACTTTGGGGAAGCTCACTGTACCACTTCTGAAGGATGTGTGCAAGATCTATGGGCTGAAGGGAGGAGGGAAGAAGCAAGAACTTCTAGATTTAATCACTGAACGCTTCAGTAGCCACTAAGAACTGAGGCCTATATAGAACTTCAGATGTTTCCTTTCTTCACCCAGTTTCAAATGTATGATATAGAATACAATGGAACGTCTAGCTGTCTACTTGGGTTCATGTGGCAGTTCTGGCTCTTGTCTTAAAATGAACATTTGTATGCCCTTTTTTGTGTCTGAATAAATCAGTATGTTTTGTAATGCTGTGTTCAGTTGATTCCTGGTTGCAATTTTGTACTTAAAACATGATAATGTGTATCATAGAAAAACTTAGACTGCATGTAAGGGGGATGTACAACTGTTAGGGCCTTACCTTTTAACCTTCCAGTTAATTGTCATTAACATTGCTGAATGCAAGACAGACAAGTCAATTCTGTTCTGCCATTCAAACAATATTAACTCATAAAAGAAGAGTTATACACAGCTCCTGAAAGTGAAGTACTTAAGTAAGCTACTAAATGTGATTTTTTTAAAAACCCTATATTAAAACAAAGCCCCACCCCCAATCATAGGATTCACAACAGAAAATCCTACCCTTAAGGACGACTCCAACCAATATTGTGCTTTCTGCTTGCAAAGAGGATGTGATTTAAATAAGCCATAGCCTTACTGTAAAGGTAAACTCAAACCAAGGGGCATTTATTGTCATGATTTTTGGTCAGACTGCAGCATACTATCTTATTGCAAATTAAAACAGTGCTTGACTTACAGAGAATGTTTAAAAAGGTGTAACAAAACAGTGTCATTAAGAGCCAGACAAATCAGAAACTTTGGAGCAATTCTTCCTTCCATAAGCTGGGCATTGAGTTACAAAGCACCACGTATGTGAAGGCTGGCTAGGGGGCAGAGATCAGCCAAGTTACCAAGCTCCAGGGAGATAACAAGAGTTGTAAACCTCACAGGAACATGTGCCAGCGATTATATAAGCTCTTTTCTTGGAACAAGCTGTCAACTTGATTTTGGTCACTATAAAGGAACACTTAAATCCTTCTCCTGAATACATATTTTCCAGAGCTATGAAAATCAGACTTGATTTTTTTGAGGACTACACCTTTTGAGTTCACACAGTCAGTAGCAGCTGTGAAGACTACTTGTTCTGTAAGTATGCTGCAGTGGCATCAGCTAAAATTATAACAAAGGCAATTACAGAGTATATACATTAAATTGTAATATTTATTTTAAAAAAACATGTTGAACCCCACTGTCTTTGGCAATACAAAAGTTTTTCATCTCTCTTCTATTTCCTAAGAGTATGTATGGGTTAAATTTTAATCAGATTAGAATTTTGGTCCTGGCTTGAGCTATACTACAGCCTGGCTTCCATTTTGAGCCTGCATAAAGGCAAGTGATTGGAGAGCCTAACGATACACCTTCAGTTTTCTCATACGACACTTGAGTAATAATGGACAGTCCTGGGATACGGTTTCTTTCCTAGAGTCCAAATCTTCTGCCAGAAATGCTTCTGCAAATCAAGTTTATTACCAAAAAGTTTAGGCTAATTAAATCCTACTTGGAGAGAGTGATTTCACCGGAAGTATACCCTTATTAAAATGATTAATTCATCTTGAAGACTTAAAGAGCAAATACTTTGAGGCAGGCAGAAGGAAGAGGCAAACATGGTAAACAACTGAAATCTAATAGATGTAAATACTGTACAAATGACAAGACAAACCAAAAAACTGATACAAAATAAACATCAATCATCTTTCCTTGAGTTACTCTAATTTAGTATGGGGCAGCTACATAAATTTAGACTAATAGTCTCTCAATGGCTTGTTGAACAGATTGAATTTGAGGCTTCAGTTGTGAACCTTCTTTGATGGTAATGGAACAGGCAATTACGGGGCGAGAAACACCACATGCCCGGCCCAGGGCCTGCTTGGAGCGCACAAATACGTAGGGCACATTCTTGTCCTCACACAGCAGTGGAAGATGCAGGATGATTTCAAGGGGCTCAGCATCTGCAGCCATCACAATGAATTCAGCAATTCCTCTGTTCAAAGTTTTAGTGGCTATGGAAAAGAAGAGTCATACATCAACTACAGCTTCATTTCTTAAAACCTCTATAATATATTCACTAACTGCTACTTTCAACCTTATCAAATTAACAAATCCTATGGGATAGGTTTCATATACCATGTTGGACTGTTACTAGCCATGCACTTCTTCAGATCCTAACCCATGTTAGCCAGGATGGAAAAGAAGAAGAGATTGGATTTATACCCTGCCCTTCACTACCTGAAGGAGTCTCAGAGTGGTTTACAATCTCCCTTCCCCTCCCTACAACAGACACCCTGTGAGTGGGGCTGAGAGGAGCTCTCTTGAGAACTGCTCTTGACAGAACAGCTCTGTGAGAGCCATGATTGACCCAAGGTCACACTGGCAGCTGCATGTGGAGGAGTGAGGATTCAAACCTGGTTCTCCCAGATTCGAGTCCACACTCGTAGCCACTACACCAAACTGGCTCTTTTTCTGAAACTACAGTATCACATAATAAAGTGCCATAATAAACTGACTCAGGGAAATCCCTCATGGGGTTTTCTAGGCAAGAGGTTACAAATGGTTTGCTGTTGTCTTCTGAATTTAACAGGGTCTGATAACTGACACCTCTTGCTCGGAATTATTGCATCAAAATGTATGTGCTGTTGCAATCTTGAGTATGCTGTTCAGGTGTGTATCTGTAAGCTGCAAACCTATGATGATGCAGCAGCAAAAGATAGCCAGTTCCACTGCGGGCCTGATCTGGCCCCCAGGCCACATATTTGACACCCCTAATCTAGAGGATTGGACTTTTGATGAAAACAACATGCTGCCAGAGCCATTCCTTCATCAATAATTTACTGCTCCTATATCACTGAAGACAATATGGGAGGATTTAATATTTTGGCTGTTTACAAATCATGGTTTACAAATGATGGTTACATACAAACAGGTACTATTAACTGCAAAATTCTATTAAGCTAGTATGCAGACTGGTAAGGGAAGACTCCAAGGCTGCAATCACACGTGCTAAATAATTTACTTTCAATCCACTTTCCAACTGAATTTTGCCAGTTCACACAGTAAAATCCAGTTGAAAAGTGGATTGAAAGTGGATTATTTAGTGTGTGTGTGATCACAGCCCAAATTGGAACATTCTCTTGCCATATTTAAAAACCAACTGAGATTCTGATCCTACCAGAAGATACTTGACAGTCAGACCTGTCTCTATTTCCAGACACATTTATTTGTAATGTGACCTTGCAGAAATAAAACAGCAGGTGAGAGAAACATACCTCAGCTGGTCCTATGATCAACATATCTGGATCAGCAGCAGCTTTCACTGCTAGGGCAAGGTAATAACCAAGGAAGGCAGGGGGTGTTTAAGAGTATACTCCATAAAGTTGCAGTTACGTTACCCATAAGAAAACAAAATCCCTTTAATATGCTACACTAATCTTCTGCACAAGTTCAAACAGCTCTCTCACCTTCATTGGCTCCTTTGCGTAACTGTTTGTAGTTGCAGGACTGCTGTACGAGATCCAGCAGTGTCTTTGTGAGCTGGGCATCGGCTAGTGGATAAGCTTTAGGGTTTACTTCTGCCTCAATCTGCAGAACGAAGGCAAGAATTAAGACACATGAAATTGATATCCTGTTAAGATATTTACAATCCTGGAAGCCACAGGATTGTCCCTGAATCGGTTAACAGCAGAACTACATGCACTCCAGTGAGCCTTTAATGGATAGTTGCAGCCACTGAACAAAAGCTTTAAAAACTACAATAGTGGGCTTCTTAACCACCCCTTGTCATTTTCGCATAAAAAGTCACCCTCCCACAGCAGAACTTTTCACCATGCTTTGAAAGGTCTAATAATTACACACGGTAGTTCTGCCTTTAGTCAGTAATCTCTCCAACCATTTTCTTTGTAAAAGCCATTGGAAACACACACACACTCATACATACACACAGAGATAGCAGAAACATAAGTCATAGCTACACAACATCACTGACAGATATTGTTAATATTGCTAGTTCTACATGGGATGTACTAAAAGGAAGGACAGGCTTACCCATTGGAAACAATGGAAGACGCTTCAAGGCCCATTGGAAATAATGGGAGCCCGGAATGCCAATTGACTTGCATGGGCTCCACTGAAATATATTACAGTACAAGTAGAGTTGCAATAAAAATGCGGAATGGATTTTCTATTAAGGTCTCTTGGTCCAAATACACTACCCTGGGGATGGAATGAGAGACCACAGAATGGAATGACAGTCCCTGGGAGTAACAGAAGTGTTCTGGGACTGGAATGAGAGACTATGGGGTGGAATGACAGCC